ATGCGGCTCGTGGTGGACACGAAGCAGTGGTCAGGATATTGCTGGACCGACAAGATGTCGAGGCGGACTCGAAGAATAACGATGGGTTGACTCCGATATCCTGGGCGGCTGGAGGTGGACATGAAGCGGTGGTCAGGCTACTTCTAGACCGACAAGATGTTGAGGCGGACTCAAAGGATAACTTGGGTCGGACACCGTTGTTATATGCGGCCTGGCGCGGACATGAAGCAGTGGTCAGGCTACTGCTGGACCGACAAGATGTCGAGGCGGACTCGAAGGCTAACTGGGGTCAGACACCGTTGTCCTTTGCGGCTGGAGGCGGACATGAAGCGGTGGTCAGGCTGCTGCTGGACCGACAAGATGTCGAGGCGGACTCGAAGGATAACTTGGGTCGGACTCCGTTATTATATGCAGCCTGGCGTGGGCATAAAGCGGTGGTCAGGCTACTGCTGGACCGACAAGATGTCAAGGCGGACTCGGAGGCTAACTGGGGTCGGACACCGTTATCCTGTGCGGCTGAAGGTGGACACGAAGCGGTGGTCAGGCTACTGCTGGGCCGACAAGATGTTGAGGCGGATTCGAAGGATAACTGTTGAAGAGGGAAGCGCTCGATGGCAGTCTGACAAGCAGACGGGTCGAAATAGCGGAACAATCGCACACTTCTGCAGTCCTCAGCACCGAGGATACAGCAGGAGATATCAAAAGAAGGTCATAGCGAGGCAAAAGAATGTGTATTCGAAAAATCAACTTTGTGGTCTCGGGATGGGCGAGTTTTACTCCTAGGAGGGTTGGAAGCATCGGTGTCACCATCTGGCCTATGGAACCTGGTCAAATGGGCCAAGAACAGACACAACGCATCCGCAGCCTGCACAACAGCACTGGTGAAACAGGATGGGGGACTTGCCCGTGAGCCAGAAGAAAAGGCTGAGACACTACGCCAAACCTTTTTTCCGCCCCCGCTCCAAGCCGATATTTCAGACATTGAGGGATATGTGTACCCGCTATCGATTGAATGCCTGGAAATCACTGTCCCAGAGATTGAGAAAGCAGTGCGCAGAGCGTCCCCGAACAAAGCCCCTGGCACTGACGACATCACCAACGGCATCCTGCACCAGACGCTTGACATTCTTCTTCCAAGTCTCTATATGCTTTTTAACTCGTGTCTTCAACATGGATACTGCCCTGCACACTTCAAGGATACGATCACAGTCGTACTCCGGAAGCTAGGGAAGGATGATTATGCACAACCCAAGGCATATAGACCTATTGCACTCCTAAACACCCTGGGGAAGATGATAGAAGCCATTATTGCGAACCGACTGGCCTACTTAGCAGACGTACACTATCTTCTCCTAAGCCGATATACGGGGGGCCGGAGACTTACATCGACGGCACATACTATACACCTTCTACTCCAACGGATACACTAAGCGTGGTCTGAGGGTAAGGTCGCCTCTCTGCTACTGCTCGATGTATCAGGAGCATACGACAACGTTTCGCGAGAACGGCTCCTGTAGAACCTTCGAAAGCGTAGGATCGATCAGAAAATCATAGCGTAGATCGCGGCTTAGCGACTGCGCTACAACTCCTATGCTGCAGGAATTCACTGCCCTATCAGCACTGATCCAAACCGGCATCCCGTAAGGATCGCCAGTCTCGCCAATTCTCTACCTGTTCTACAATACGGACCTGATTGAGGCATGTATGACAGAGGATACGGAGGTGGTCAGATACATTGACGATTCGTCTATTCTAGCAGTAGGGCTGACGGCACAGTGGAACTGTAAGACCTTGAAAAATATCCACCAGAAAGCCAAACAATGGGCAGTTAAGCATGGCTCCCAGTTTGCACCGGCAAAATACGAACTGGGTCATTTCCCGAGAGACCCCAAAAAGAATGGCACACATTGTCTTCGCCTACCACACGCCACTGTCGAGGCCTCCGCGTCATGCCGCTATCTAGGTGATGGGAGGTGGTTGTTTATTGATAGAGATGATGTCGATAGAGATGGAAGAAGAGGTCACGCTGACGAGAAAACAACCTTATTTATTAATTATCCGACCTATTAGACACGGTCCACTAACTAGTCTAGATCAGTTCGACGGTACCGAGCCACCCGAAACAAAACATAATCACTGGCTATTCACTCCCTTCACTCAACTCAGGCCACCCGCTCACTCTCACAGGCCCGCGGCGTGGGAAATGCCTGGTTGGCGGGTTTCGAGAATCTTGATCGTCTGCTCGAAGACCTTGGTCTGCGCCCGGCGTCCTACATCGGTATAGATCCATGACTCGACATTCTGGTTCGTGCCATCACTCTGGAACTCGCCATGCGAACTGACGGGAGCCGCAGCGGCTAGCACCAACGTCCGGCCGCCGACTTCGGTCGTCCGATCTAGGATCCAGCGGATGAAGCGGATGATCGCCGGCGGCTTCGCGCCGCTGCGGTCGAGGTTAGAGGTGCAAAGACCTGGATTCACTAGGTTGATGATTACTGGTGGCGTGGTGGTTTCTTTCTTATTCTTGAGCCGGGCGACGAGTTCGCGGGTGAAGAGCACCTCGATCAGCTTGGTGGCCTGGTACCTTTCCAATTATAAGTATTCAGATCAACATCGAGGTATAAAGAAGCTCACCGCGGTTGTTGACTAAAGTCCTTCTTCTCGTTTAACTGGGCGTACAGATCCGGGGCGTTGATCTCGGGGAATTTAGTCAAGCGGTGCGCCTCAGAGCTCACAATCACTAGATGCGGCAGGGAATCCGGGTAATTGCTCTTCGTCTCGTTGAGTTTAGGTAGCAGGGCGAGAGCGAGGAGAAAGGTGTTGAGCACGTTGACCTGGACCGCCTGTTCGAAGCCCTCACACAAGTTCCAGTCACCCGAGTTGATGCCCGCATTTTCGACGACCACGTCGACCCGTGTCAGCTCTGTTTTTACCCGGTCGGTGAACGCAAGCGTTGAGGCAGTGCTCGACTGGTCCAGCGCCCACACTTCGATCGCATCGGGGTCTGACCGCGTCGGGACACTTTTCAAGAGCTCCTCCTTGGCCTTCTGGCCCTTGGTAATCGTGCGGACGGCGAGAATCAGCCGAGCGCAGTTCAGGCGATAGAAATGACGCGCCGCCTCGAGCCCAAGTCCAGTGTTGGAGCCGGTGACGATGACCGTTTGTCCAGCAAATGAGTATTGTGGGAAGGGCGGGGTGACGAATAGCTGTGAGTAAAAAAACAGGCGGAGGCCAGTGCCCAGCTTGGGCTCGATGGGAAATTCGAGCTGCTGTTTGGGCGCCATGGCTGTTATCGGAGTGACAGAGGGGGTGGTTAGGGTTGAGGTGGACTTCGAGAAGGAAAGAGGACAATAGAGTATATATACAAATCTAAATATTATGAAGGTTCGAGACTAGCAACGGGAGCTTCTTGGCAGCTTCTGCCTACAGTAGGATGTCAGAAGTTCACACGAGCGCTACTAATGTTAAGGAGCGCTATTACCCCTCATGCAAACCTCTGATATCCCTCTGTCGGAGCCTGGGGGGGTGGCCTGTATTTCGGGGATCTTCCAGGTACGCTAACTTTTAGCCTTTCGGCCCGGCGAGGCGGTAGCGGGATTAGATCATCTATTAACTAGATTTGTAATAAGGTAAATATGCTTATTGATGCGCCTGTGATTGCACCGTTGCGACCTACTCTCTCCCCGCTCCCCATAATTTGGGTCGCCTGGCCGGGCTGCGGCCCAACAGTTGCTCCGCCAGATGAGCCACCAAGTCTCCTTCTCGATCATTGTAATTCCCTCGCGTTGCACTCGAGCGGGAATCACCCGGCTCGACTACCGGGAAAATACCTTTTCCCACTGGGAAATATTGCCCAACACGATTGGAACACTAGGCCGACTGCTTAGCACTACAGTCGGAGCTCTATAGGTCCATCTACAGCTACCTTAGTTAACACCAGGCAGGCCGCCTTATCTGTTCTCATCTTGCCTGAGCTAGAAGGATGGGATGCGATGGAGTGGATGCTTACTCAGAGGGAAATGTACAATGTCTAGTCACATTATGAGTACTGATAACCTGTTTCCTTGCTTGATCATGAAATACCAGAATGAAAATTTTGCTCATATAGCATGATATCCTTCCGTCACAATAAACTATTTGGGTAATCCCCCGTTCACACTCATCTCGAGCATCGATGAAGATCACTGTGGAAGCCATTGTTGGACGCCGAGCCACTGTTACTAGTTAAACACATAGTTCCACACAGCACGTTTTACATTTCACGTTCTCTATTAAGAAACTTACGGCCGCCTTCATTTAAAAGTGCGGGCTCAATATAACATTCACACGAAGCCTTGGCAGTGGATCTAGGAAACAATCATGATGTGTCTGAAGGTCACCCCGATTTGAAGACGGCAATCGTGGCGGTATTGGTGCCAGAAGCAGCCTTTCTGCCCAAGGCACAAAAAGCAATTGTAATGCCTGAGGCATCAAGCGGTAATAGTAGTGCTGATTGCCAGAATCCCAACCCCACAAAAATAAACTTGGAGTTACAATTAGGGAAGTGGAAACCCTGTACTAGCTAAAATTGTGGGGCACATCCTATTTTGATGCAACTCGGATTCGATCTCGGTCTCGGTCTCGTAATCGGAATCCCTCGCCTTCTGAACACATGTGGGTGTGGCAGAAAATCCCAGAGGTAATCAGCCCCGGGATGCTGTAAGGGTAGGGGAAGCACACTGCGTTCCTATTGAACGACTAACTCCTAATGTACAGCTGACTACGTCGGAGCGCTTAACCCGAGAGGAGAAAGGGAGAATCCTAGGTACTAACCGACGACACTTTACCTGCTCGCGCGGTGAGCTCGGTCCGAAAATTTGTCTCTCATCATAACAAACTTCAAAGTTAATTCTGTCAAGTAGCAGATCGACGTACTAACCTGTACTGGAAATGTCCATTGGACGCAGATATTGATTGGACATGTGTGTAGAGGCGGAGATCTCAATTGATTTAATTTGAGTGATCCCTTACTTTAGAATGTACAGTATGTAGCTCCCTTAGCTAGTGATATGAGGCTTGAGCTAATCAGGAACAAAGCAAACAAAGCCGCAACATCGAAAATAATTCCTGCACTGTCTATGCAAAGAGCCAAGTTGACTGAAAATAAAACTTGGACTTGATGCTATATATGTAACTTCGCATATAAACTTTGCCTTGAAATCGAACCCGAATACGAGACCAAATCATGATAAGGAATGCCGGTAGAAATCCATGATCCAGTCCTTGGCTGCTTTTAAATCGCTACCACTGGTTCCAACAAAAGATCTTGGTATTCTGTATTTTGGGCATTCGTGGGTTCATTTGTGCAGCCTGGAGTTGATATCAAGCTTGTGCTAGGCAAGGGACACGGGTGCCTGGAGATAAAAAGGGCTTAGGTTCGTATTCGGATCTGGACCCTGAGAAGTCTAATCTACCTACCAAACTTTGCCCTGCACATCAGATGTCGAAAATATTTAAAAGGATGGACATCGAGGCCATGATATTACATTCATGACGGATAACCGCCGATTTTTAACGCGACTTGTATTGAAATCTACAAACTTCATGTTGTTCAAAATGTTAAAAATGTCAGAAATCTCCAAAATGGCCCTCTTTGGTCCCAAGCACAAGCTCAAAATCCATTTGGTGCAATCTTTCTTGGCGGTAGTTATTGTCGCTCTTTCCGCTGCGCGACTACTCGCTTCAAAGGGACAGACGAGGACCCGATCTGGTAGTATGGGATTAGGAATGGTAAGAATTAACCCTCCGATACAGTGCTGCTTCCAATAATTCAAGCTGACTCAAAATGTGGAATAAAGGGTGCCAAATCACTCGTAATTATCCTTTACCAGATCTTGACTGGACACGTTTCTCGCTTCCAACGATGGGGGAGCCTGAAAGCATACCTCGTCCTCAATTCGCTAGAGATAGTTTTCTGGGGTGCGGTGGCATTCCTCGTCATGCAAGCAAATCTCCAGATGTGTCTGGCCCCAGGTTGCGCCCTCGGATGGGTGGTGATAGTGTTATCCGTAATAATGAAGTGAGCAAATTCAAAACAAAGGGATTAAGATTTACTTACTCACAGAGGAGACTTTAGTATTCTTGCGCTCTACATGACTATCGTGTCCCACCTGGATTATCAATACTACAAGGCCACAGGCCAGCAGCGGGGTTTCACTATAAAGGAGGAACTCCCGCCGCATAGTAGGAGTGACTCGGGTGTTTGAATTGAAGGAAAGTTCTTGAAATCCAAGATGTCTTGATGCTTGAGCGTCCTACGGTTACCACACTGGTTTCAAGGCTCGAACAGCATTACAGTGCATTCAGTGATGTAGCTGCGCCCCCAATGTTTGAGAGTCTTTCCTTTGGTCCCACTTAGCACCGGCTGTGTCAAGCAATTTGCGTCAGATGACACGACAATCAGGGCCTTGAATACCAGCACATATTTCAATTATGGCATGTTAATGCCGTTGTTGGGCTCTAAGCCCGCGAATGCCCTTTCCATTGATCGCAAACTATGGTATGACTGTTATGATACAGGAGGAATATTCATGAACGAAGGTAGAAGTGGCTGGGACGGTGTATGACATAATCAATCAATCAATCAATCAATCAATCAATCAGGGCATAGGGGATTATGTACTTGCATAATACATTGCAGTCGCAACCGATAGTGCAGACAGAACACATTCCCAGTTGCTCCCCAGTGCGGCCACACTCCCCTTGTTAAAGGGAAAAATTTGAAAGAGTAAAATTAGTGATTGTCCTTTTTGGTATAGACCGTCAGTAGTCTTGTATATATATATGAAAACCTAACACCTGTCATGCTGTTGCAACGACCGGAATATTCAACACCTGGGATTGCGGACAGACCAGGGAGTGCGGGCCCCCTCAACGTGCTACGAGTAAAGGCGGCGAGCTCTAACGACGCCGGCCTCGTTTGGATTACTGAGGGGCAAATCTTGGTGGAAACATGATATTCATTGATGTCAAAAGATTTTAACTGATGACAAAACGTGAGTTAATCTGTGAGCTCCGAGCCCCTGACGGATGAGAAACCGGCTGTCTGCTTCGAAGTTGTTTGACGTAATCTTTTAATCCTTTGCTAAAGTTTAACATACACCAGACAGAATTGACCAGTGTTGAAGAGATTAAAAAGGTCGCAATCGCGGCAAATAGTGTGAGGGATGTCTTGAACGCGCTGAGACCACTGTTGTCTGTCAAACGGTACATTTGGAACATGGTTTTGATGATACTTGTCAAGATGGCAGCCATAAAGAACTGTGATTATTGTCAAACAAAGCCTGAAATTTGATTAGATAGTGCCGCTCACCATGACAATGACAAGGGATTTTCTTTTCTCTCGTCGACAAAAGAAAGCCGCTAGGGCAAGAGTTATGATGGCAACGGGTACCATGGCCGCGTTGATCATGAACTCTTCATTATTGAAATCTTGAATTGAGAGTAGAATCTGAAGCTGTGTTCCAAAAATGAAGAACCAGTCAAATTTCAAGAGGGCGATGTAGACCTGTCAAGTTAGCTTAAGCATTAGGGATAACCTAGCATAGTCTCTTACCTGGTAGACAGTATATCGGCGATTCATTCGCAAGTCTGCGCTGATGTCTTTATAGATTGACCACGAAAATTCCGCACGAAGCTTCCACGTCACGAATGCCATGATGGCAGTGCCGACACCTAGAAAGACTGGAACCAAGATAAGTTCGATCTGGTACGTCGACCAAATACTGTTGCTGCGCGAAGTATCGGCTACTACTTCAGTGACGGTCTCTCTGATTTCTCTCATCTGAATGATGCCATAGATGAAAAGACCAAGGTTACAGATGCACAGTCCAACCAGCTGAAAGGTGTTCTTGCGTCGTAAAGCATCGTATGAAAGCGCCAGCTCGTAGAGAAGCGCGAATATGTAAAGTCCGAGAAATGACTGAATGCGCAGCGTCGCCTCAGACTTATCAATCTTGTCAAGCTCGTTCAACATGCTGACAAGTACCCAGCTAAGAAAGATGATGAGCCTCATGCACAAAAATTATACTCAGTTCTTGCTAGGCACTTACCTCTCGATCCCAACGGTAGCCAGGGTTTCGAGGATCACCGTGGTACCAAACGACCGTGTCCATAATGTGTTTGGAAGGTAGATAGACCGGCGCTTCTTTTTAGATGAAGTCACATGCCCTCTGTCGTTGTGGACATGATTTGTCGACGACGGGAAATCGTCGAGCTCAATGTACCTGCCGATTGACAGGGCTGTCTTGGAGAAGGGGCGACACTGTGGGGCGTCAGCCCTGGTCGGAGGGCACTCAATGGCTTCAGCGACTCTAGAGTCGCTATGTTGCATCGTTTCCTTTCAAAAAGCGTAGCTTCAAATTTCAGGTTCAAGGATAGGTTGATACAGCAATGAGGTTTGAATAAAACAGAAGTTATTTGTGACTGTCATTGAAGAGAGTTCACTGAGTGCAGCTCTGAAGGGGCTGACGAGCCCGAGTACGAATCGAGGCGTAAATCTTTCGGAATAGGGCCCATTTTTTAGGATTTTTAACTCGCACAAGTCAATATTCAATCATTTTTGTGGAGCCTAGCGTGTCCAGATTCAATCTTTATACATAGTACAGTTGTTTCTAAAAAAAATCCGTTGTTTTAGTTGCACTCGGCCATGGTCCACATAGCCAGCCGGCTTATCACCCATGGCTGCCTAGTCTAGCCCCTTTTCTAAACCGATCCTTCCTCATTTCAAGAGCATCGGCGGTGATGTATCTGGCTCCACAACCAAGATCAGCACAGGCCGACATTAGGGGCCATGGCCCATCGCCTTGAGTGAGGACTTTGCGGAGTCAGCCATCGTGGCTAATCTCCAGGAAGGTCTCCGGGACTTCGTTAACTTTAGAAAACAGACAAGCAAACAAGAAAGATTAACCCAAGATTTGCCCGATTGTTGGACTATCTAGAACTTGACCTGCCACTTGGGATTTGTTCTTATCCGTTCGCCGAAAATTCGAAACCCTAACGGAATAGGTGCTATTGCCAAGGCGATAAATCCCAGTAGGCTGTTGCCCCATCCTAGGCCAATTTTGTCATACAGTTTCAGCCCGAATAGAGGAAAAACCGCACCCAAAAAGCTCCGTAGCACTGTGTTGGCTGCTGTGGCGCTCGCAGCATGTATGGCAAACGCGTCGACCAGGTAGGTTTGGATGCACATTAGGATACCGATCACGCCAAACCCAATCACGGCGTTTCCAATTTGAGGCACAATCCAGTGGACATGATACTTGGTGCTCCATCCATAGATGAACAGACCAGCCGGCAGACCGAGACATGCCGGAATGATGATTGGGTATCGCAGTCGGTCTTCGGGAAGAATGGGCTCTCCCAAGGCGATCTTTCTCTTGATCCTCTTGTCACTCTGAGTGGCAGCAAAGCCCAGCCCCAACAGCATGCCAATTCCACTTCCCAGGAAAGCTAGGCCGGCAGTTCCTGAAGAAAACCCGTACTCGCCCTCGAATACGAACGTATAGGTCGTGAAGAGGATATAAAGCAGACCGTACATGATTGCCACGTACGAACACATCAGGAAAATGATCGGCGATAGGAGAAGCATCTTCATGGGCCGGATGATGCTTCGTATGAATAGCTCCTTCTTGGGTAGATCGGAATGAAGACGAGATTGATACGAGGAGTTCCCTGTCTCTTTCCTCAGTTGATCGGCCTTTCGCTCAAGGAGAATCGGAGGGTACGTCTCTTTCAAAGTGAAGAAACACACGATGGTGGAAGCTCCCGACTGTTCATTGACGATTCGATGGTCAGTTTTCACATGTTAGCGTGGTGATCTCGTAGATGGTTTCTTACCACGATCGCGATGACCCAGAAGACCCATCTCCAGTCTTTTGCTTCAACAAGAAAACCTCCCGCAATAGGGCCAATGATCGGCCCAAACAACGGTCCCAAGGACCAGAGCGACATTGCTACACCTCGTCTCTCAGGTGGCATAAGGTCCGCAATGGTACCGCTGCCGCAGGTAATCGGTGCCACTCCAGCAAAGCCAGCCAGGAAGCGAAACACGATCAACATTGCCATGTTCTTGGACACTGCGCATAGGATGGTGAAAATCAAAAAGAGAATGTTGCAAGCATGATAAACAGGGACTCGACCAGTCCACTCGCTAAGAGGCGCGATGACAAGTGGTCCAAATGCGAAACCCAGCACAAAAACGGAGATCACAAAGGTCGCAAGTATTGTTGAGTCTGTCTTGAAGTCTGCTAACATCTGGGGAACACCAGGAGCGGACATCGATGATGCTAGAGGTCTGATATTCCCGGTCAGTCGAACTGATAATCGCCTGAATGAGGATCTGTCTGAATGGGGAAGCGTACGTAAGGAAAGTGACAAGTGACAGAGATGCGATTATAGTCCATTTCCGAGAATTTGACCAGTTCCTTGGGTTGGCAGGATCCTCGTTCTCGGGTTCACTCCACCACACGTCGAAGTTGGATTCAGGCTCTTCGCACTTCGCTGCTGTTGTGTCATTTGAGGCACTGAGCTGCTCGTTTGTGCTGACACGACTGGCGACGCCTGCCTCGAGCGCTTCAGGTTTTGTGCACTCGTCGTTTTTATCGTCATCATTTGCGTTTTCGGACATCTTTGATCTGGGGGAGGCAACCTTGCTTTCAATACGGTTGTTCCCCGCGTCAGCTCCGGATCAACAAACTCGAGCACGAGTGTTGCGGTGCAATGCAATAGTTCTCCGCAGGGTTTGAAACTATTTTCAGGGCAAAGCTGTCTTGTCGACTTTATCTATTTGTTGGTTCTCCTAGTCATGTATCAATTACCCAACCAATCAAACTAGAGGTGATTGGCAATATTGATTCATTTAGTTCATTTTATTCTCGGATTCGCTCCCGTATTCGGGAGCGTGGTACAAGTTTCCAACGTTAAATTTCCCGGTTGTAGTCAATGCAAAAGAAATCTCTGGGCACTTACTTCTAGAAAGTGTGTATGATATCCAGCATGCCATAGTGTGTCTTTTTCTCTCTCTTTTCTCTTGATTTCTCCCGTTGATTGCCAATTATTGATGATATACTGTACCTTGTATTCCGTATATACTTCGAGCCAGCTAACCCGAATACGAACCCGAGGCGGATCCCCATCATCCGATGGGCTTTTTTATGCCCGTCCCCAAGTTAAACACAGCATGAATTTCAGTCTCGGGCGAGAGCCTGCCGAATAATGCCAGACATGGGGTAAATCGCTACCTACGCCTCACAAATCATGCTTTTCTTCACTTGGCCCCTCAAAAGCCCCATCCTCTATCAGCTTTCCAGTCTCGAAGTATGTTGTTGGAGAGTGGGGCATGGCAAGACAGAGCACACCCATAGCATCTCGCATGTTACTGCCAATTTCAATGAGCCTCACACACTTCCAGATGCAACAGTCATAGGCTGCCACGGTTGAATCATAATCTTGTCGAATGCAGCACATGAGGGATAGAAAACCTTTGGTTCCATGATTTCTGTTCTCTGAAAATAATACATTACAACAGGAAGACTGATATATACTTAAATGGTTAAGCACTCTTTTGAGGGGTGGATGAGTATTAAGGTATAATATATTTATTACTTTTTAGCACCATCTAAAAGACCTGGTTATAGAGGTTAAGGGCACTATAATTATATCTAAAAGATGTAATAAAGTAATTAACTTGTATTTAGGTGGGCCTGGAGAAACTAAGTGATCTCTAATAATATAGGTTACTAGTACTATAGTGCATTAAGCAGGGTAAGTATATATCTAGTAGCTTAAAACTTAAGCACTCATCATCACTTTATATAAGTTATAAAACTAGTTAATTATCTTAATATTTCCTAGGGAGCTTTTCTCTAGCCCTACTACCTAAAAAAAGTATCCTCTCTTTCCCCTTGGCTAAGCTAAATATTTTACAAACTAGCTATTAGAAATTAATGGCTGCCCTGTTTATATTAGACCAGGCAGATTTGAGGCAGGTCCCCTACTAAGCTACTATTCTATGTCATTGTATAGTTCTTATGTTTATTTATCAGCTGTACTTGAGTATTAAAGTAGCTAGAAGTTACATACCGCCGGAGACTTTTATACAGATCACCGGGATGCACAAGAGATGAATTCTATCCTTACGTCGTGCTATAAGCAAGCTACCGCAGTGGAGCTATTCTGAAGATTTCCTACTCAGACATTCACCCTAGAGGCACCTCGTGCGGCAGTGTAGAAGTATTGGAGTTATTCTTTGTGATTGTAGCTGTGGCTAATACCCGTGAGGGGCATACGACCATGGGAATGGTCCACACACGCCTTGATTTACACTTTCCAGACTATCCTCAGACGTTTGAGATGCCAGACAGCCTACTGTGAAACAAGCTCATCAATATTCACCCATCTAATCACCAGACAGGAACTTCAGCAGCCTGAGCCCAGGCGTCCAATTGCCCATTCTTCTTCCGTTCCCGAATCTGTTCCACTGTTGACGTGCAGGCCTTGCGCGCCAGCTCGGGGTATTCCGCCTGAATACGCTCAGCCTCGGGACTGCCGGGCTCAATCCCGGCCAGCTTCAACTCGTAGATCACGGTAAAGCTGATATCTGTCGAGTCGGGGCTGACGGTTGCCGTGTCGTGGTAGGATAGCAGGAAGGTAGTCTTTGCGCCGGTCTCCTTGGTTTTTGCTTCCACCTGGGCAGGTCAGCCATTGCACATGGATAAAGTCTTGCAAGTGCTAGCTACCAGTAAACGGTCTGCAATCCACACGTCTTGATACATGATCTCCCCGTTGCTTTTGTGGACCGCCCCGTTTGCCATAGTCAGTTTACGCTCCAGGGCGTGGCCGTTGCGCGAGAGAATCTCGCACTTAGAGACGTAGGGCGCATATTCCTGGGGTGTATCTGCCACCCGGGCGATGCCGGTCCAGAGATCCTTTGCCGTGAGCTTGGGCTCACATGACGGCGGGTTGGCTGGGGTAGTGAACGAGATGTTGTATTCGAAGAGAGGGGTGGAGTTCGCCATTGTGATAGTTGCTATCATTGAGGAGTTGTCCGCATTCTGGGGGTATTATATTGTCATATATGGGGTCTCTGTCTGAGTAATGCCGCAGTTTCGGTCGCCGATTTCTGTACCGTCGGCGTGATATAAAGCTATCCACGGCGAGCTATTTTAGCATCGAGTCTCATATCACTACCGTTGACCTGAGCGACTCTTTCTTTGCGTCTTTCATTCTCGTCTAATTTGTTAGGAATCTCTTTCAGACGGATAGGTCACTATGCTCAAGCTACTGCAGGAAACAGGAAAGTCACTTGGTTTAATTGAACCTCACAAAGCTAGAAACTATGTACAAATTATAACATGCTCCTACAGTTCCCGATCGAGACGAAACTCCGCCAATGGCTGAGCCTGCAGCTGGGCAACCAGACCTCCCGCAGCCAAAGATCCCATCGCCACCGCAGGAGTGACAGCCTTCAATGGTGTGGCACAATCCCCTACGGCAAATACTCCGGGCACATTCGTCTCGTGGAAGGGAGGCGTGGTCAGGATATCCCCTCCTTCTGTCATGTTCAAGGCGAGCTGCTTCGCAAACGGTCCGTTCACCTCTGTTTGGGGGTTGTACACCTGCGTCGGTTAGCACAATATCCTTTCCTCAGGTTCTATGGTTACCTACCAAAAAGCCTTCTGTTTTCGACTCGCCGGTCTCGCCAAAATGAACAATGACGGTCTTGGCGACATCGCCCTTTTCGAATCGCGTGATGGGTCGTGCATCGAATTTCAGCCACGAGGCGCCGGCAGGGGATGCCTCTGCAGCCTGCTGGATCTCCTTCGCCAGCTGCTCATTGCCGTTGGTGTACACCGTGACCGACTCGGAGAGCCGCCCGGCCATGCGAGCCAAATGCAAGGCGCGCGGAGGGTTCGCGATGGGTCCCAGAGCGAGGACACCCGCGGTCTCCTGGCCACGTTCCTCGTAGCCGTCACAGAAGAGACAGTGGTAGATACCATTCGCCCAGCACTCCGAGTATCCTTCAATGTCGAGGGGAATATCTCGGACACCTGTCGCCAGGACGAGCTTGCGTCCATACCAGCGTTGCCCTTCGGTGTCGCGGGCCTCGAACAGCTGGTGGGACTCGATCGGCCTGACGGCCTCGATGGTGCTGTTCTGGAATTGGATGGTCGAGTAGCGGTTGGTCAAGTCGGCGCGACCTGCGGCGCGTAGCTCAGAGGGATTGCGGTGGTCCCATCCGAGGACGTTGTGCATGTGTTGGGTCTTTGCATTGCGATACACGCCAGAGTCGAAGACGACCGCCGTGTGTAGCTGGCGAGCCAGGCCAGTGGCCGTTGAGAGACCTGCCGGACCTGCGCCGATGATGAGCACGTCGACGAGGAGCGCTCCGTTGGATAGTAGTTTGCCGATCGACATGTCTGTGGTATTGTGAGATTGTGATTGTATGGAAGAGTTATTATCCAGAGAAAAGGATTAGAAGAAAATGTAAAAATTTTGCATCGACGGTGAGGTTGCCTGTCTTTTTATATACACCTCCAGAGCTCGGGGACTTTCCTCGGCAGCCGAAAAATGTTTCCGCGGGATCGGCCAATCGCCATGCAAGTGATGTATAAGACACAGGTTGCGCCACGTTCAAAAGAAACAAATAGAATTACATATAGTTCACGGAGAGCTGACCCGATAATTGAATTCAACCTCGCTTGAACCAAAGAGCGACGCGATCGGAAGCACACGCCATGGACACAGTCTACCTCCACCAGTCTTTGCGAACTGCAGTCGCAGTCTCGTTTGGGGTCGGTCTGCTATACTGGGTATATCGACTGATTTTGCAAAAGTCAAAGAGTCTGAAGGCGCTGGACTTGCCGGTTCTGCAAAGTGTTGGTGATCAAGACATTGTGAAAACCCTGGAGGAGGGCCATGCCAAGGTACTCCCAACCACGACAACTACTCGTTCTACGAAGCTCACAATACCAGTATCCAGATACTCCGTTCGCACTGGGGGTGCCAGGACAACAATTAGTTGTTCTTCCCGTCTGTGAAATCGACACCGTCAAGGCACTGCCGGAGAACCAGCTGTCTATTAAGAAGCACCACTACAATCAGTTCCTAGGCGAATACTCGTACATGGGCACCAAGGCCGATGAATTCGACGATGCGATGAGATATCTGCTGGTCCGCAACACTCCGGCCGTGTTGGCCTCATTTACGGCCGAGATCGACTACGCCATGTCGACCGTGCTCCAGCTCCCACCCAACACCTGGACCCGAGTGAAGCCGCGATCGATCATGCCCAGGGTGGCCACTATCCTGTCCGGCCGCGCCTTTGTCGGGCTTCCGCTCAGTCGAGAATCAGACTGGATCGAGTCCAACGTCAATTACACCCAGGACGTCTCGCGCGCCTGGATGGTCTTGCGCTTCTACCCGCACTGGATCCGACCGCTGGTGGCGCCGTTCCTGCGCGAGGTTAAGACCCTAGAGCAGAACAAGGCGCTCATCGGGCGCAAGATTGCAAAGCTCCTTGCCGATCAAGAAGCGCAGAAACTGTCACCTGCAAAGGAGAAGATCCCCGGCGGTGATATGATCGACTGGTTCAAGTCGCGGTACCAGACCCAGGGGAAAACGGCCACGGCCCAACAGCTCACGCGCGATCAACTGCTGGCCACCTTCGCCTCAATCTACAACCTGTCCAACGCGCTGACATATGTCATCTTCGATCTGGCCGCGTACCCGGCCGTCGTGGACGAGCTACGCGAGGAACTAGACCAGGTCCTGGGCCCCAACGTCGGCGCCGAGAGCATTGACAAGACCACCCTCCCGCGACTGATCAAGCTGGACAGCTTCGTGCGTGAATCGCAGCGTCTAAGCCCAACGTCGTTGGTCAACATCCCCCGAGTCGTCACCGATCCAAATGGCCTCCGACTGAAGACCGGCCATGTGATTCCACCAGGATACCTAGTGATGGTGCGCGCGCAGCCGATCAACCAGAATTCCACTCTGTATCCGAATCCGGAGCGGTTTGACGCCTTCCGCTTCGCTCGTCTGCGCCAGCAGGGAGGGGCCAACGAGAACCGCTGGCAGCATACCTCCACGGGGGCCGACAACATCAATTTTGGCCATGGCATCTGGGCGTGTCCGGGCCGGTTCTTTGCCAGCGCGGAGATTAAGGTGGTCGTGGCATATGTGATTCGTCACTACGATCTACGGCTGGTCGAGGGACGGCCTCGTCCGACTCCCAAGTATGGTGGATTGGCTATTTTCCCCGATGCTGAGGCGGAGGTCGAATTCCGGCCGAGATTCTAGGAGGCGGTTGGTAGTATCTTGTAGCGGTTTAGATTACTTGATTTGCTTTGAAAATTGAGTTTACAGCGTTGCTTTACCGTGGAATAGTGTCGAACGATATGAAATTAGATCAATGTGTGTCCGGAGTATACTTTGAAGCAAGTTTTGATATCAAATGTGTCATGATCCATTTCTATTGTAAGCCTGGTCCGAGTCTACAGCTTCATCCGCCGAGATGAGACCCCGAGTGCTGCTACGCCGATCGTAAGATCGAATGCATTCAAAAATAACCTGCAGAAAGCCGTAGCTCCTGTGGTCATTGGGATTCTCATTTCGGTCTCCGAAACTGGTGGAGCATTCGACATGTCCGATGGATGCATCCATGGTCTATATATATGTAGTTGTTGTATTCCAGGTCGAAGTCAACATTCATCTAAGACGTGCCCAAACTCATTACTGTCTACCAGACTGCAAACCGCCACCATGACTGTCCTCCCCGACTCTGAAAACGGCTACCTCCTCAACTATGAGGACCAGGAGAAGAGACGCATGAACATGCAACATGACCTGATCAAATCCTACATGGGAAAACTGATCCTAGCTCCGCTGCCTTTTGACAAAACCAATCTCCGAGTCTTGGACAGCGGAACCTTCAACGGTAAGTCAACCCACTGCCTCTATGTTATATCACCTCTGGACTAATACTGCGAAGGCCTCTGGCTAGAAGATGCCTCCACCCTCCTGAAATCCCCCACCCTGATCGGCGCCGACGTCTCCCCAACCGCCTTCCCAGCGAACACTCCACCCAATACCGAGTTCCACATCCAATCCATCTCCGACCCCTGGCCAACCGAATGGCACAACTCTTTCGACCTCGTCCACCAGAAACTTGTCATCGCATGCCTTCCCCCTGACGAAGGCCGCCAGGCCCTCTACAGTCTCATTGAGCTCGCCAAGCCAGGCACCGGCTGGGTGCAATTCACTGAGGGCAGCCTCGAGCATCTCACCCCCGAGCAGCGCAAGCAGTACCCCGTTCTAGCCCGCTTCCAGACCTTGGTTGCTGAGATGCTGCCTCATTTCCGCTGGAATCCAAGGCCCGGGAAGCTGGTGCGCCAGTGGCTGGAGGAGTATGGGCTGGAAGATGTGCAGGAGAAGGTTATGGAAATTCCGATCGGAGCGGGAAATAAGGATCCTAAGCTCGGGGAGATGGCGAAGCAGAATATGCTCGAGGTGGTGGCTAATTTCCGGACGGCCGCGACGCGTAAGTTCTTTGCCTTGCTTTTGTCGTTGCTTTGTCGAAGATGAGGCTAACGTGTGTAGGTCTTCCTGACGGCACGGGGATTCGCGCCGAGGACTTTGATCCGATTCTCAGGGATATCAAGGTCGAGTTTGAGACGGTTGGGGGGATCCTCCGGTTCAACACGGTTTGGGGTCGTCGGCCATAGAGGCGAATAAGCATATTATTAGGTAGTCGACAGTGCGATGAGAAATCCATAAAAAATCGTTCTACTCTTGTAACAGTTGACGATTTCTTAACGTACTTCTTTATCATTGATCTACTATTTCTTTGCAGTTTAGGTTACATCCCTTTGTTAAATGTACATGAAGCACTCCATTGAATGGAATCTGGGCTTGAATTAAACATTATGTCAAACGAAACTGTCATAACGAACTCAGCTAAAACAGTGTCTAGACAATTATCTCTAGCTAGTAGGAGATGATAGTAGCAGAGAGGACACAGCAGACACAAACAAATACTGTCCATTGCCGTAACAAAACCGAAGATGATACATCTGTCGAATTCGAAACTCAAAAATCATAAGTACACAGCGACTGGGGTACAAAACGCTATTTACCATGCTTCATCCTCAAGAACCAAGCAGAGACGTGTCTACTAAGATACCCATCAAGGCTGAGCCTTGGGCTCCTCCTTCTTGCTCTTCACGCTCTTCCAGCCCGAACCAAAAGACAACAAGGTAGCAATACCAGCTAAGACAATCGAGACAATAAAAGCATCCTGCAAACCGGCCACATACGACTCGAGAATGACCTGTAGGTCATGGCCATGAAACGTGGACTGCAGCTCAGTAGMACCCGTCGACGTGATAAGCGCAGCACTGATGTTCGGCAGATGGCGCTGCACCTCCTGGACCAGCTTGTTGGTGAAGGCGGCCTGCCCGGCCTGCACAAAGATGGCCCCGCCCATACACTGGAAGAAGAGGATCATGGCCGACACGGTCGAAAGATCCTCGACGCCGACGACAGCCTGGCTTGCCATCATGGGAACTTGGATGGCGAGGCCGATTCCGATGCCCGCCATGGCCTGGTATCCTATCCACTCGTTGGCGCCGGAGTGAAGGTCCAGAGTGTAGATCAGGCCGCTGGCGACGGTGGTGAGCACGCCGCCGAGTGTCAGCAGCGGCATGTAGTAGCCGATGATGCCAAGCGCAGCGCCCGAGAGAGTCGCGAAGAGACCATCGCCCAGGACCAGTGGCAGGGTGCGCACGCCCGAGTCCGAAGCAGACGCGCCCTTGACAGACTGGAAGTAGGTCGGCAGGTAGTACAGCAATAGGTAAAACGATCCCGAGAAGGAAAAGGTGAAGAGGCAGGAGAAGAGGATGGTCTGACCCTTGAGGAGGCGCGGCGGGATCATCGCTTTCTCCTGCAGCCAGAATTCATTGATAGTAAAGGCGATGAGCAGCAGACCGAACCCGACCAGAGTTCCCACGACATCGGCGCTTCCCCAGGCTTTGGCTGAGCCACCCCACTGCAGGGCCAACAGGAAGCACAGGATGGCACCAAGGAGCAGGACGATACCGGATGGGTCCATCTGCAGCAGGATCTCCTTGTACGGGACATTTTTCGCGCGAGCTTGGGGCGGTGCCTTGAAGAAGATGGCGATCAGGCCGGCGGAAACGCCACCGATGGGCAGATTGATCCAGAAACACCATCTCCAAGTTGTATTGGACGTAAAAGCGCCACCGATGAGCGGTCCAGCAACTGCAGCAACGGCAAAGCTGGCCCCAATGGCGCCCGTCATAGCCGCACGGCGACTTGGGTGGACGGAAAAGGCGAGGATGGTGTAGGAACCCGAGGAGATGCCTGCGGCCCCAATGCCGGCAATGGCTCGGCCGACGATGAGGGTCACAGAGTTTTGGGCGACGGCGCAGATCAACGATCCGACTTCGAAGAGCAGGACGGCAGCGATAAAGCTCAGCTTCAGGGGGAAATAGCGGTAGATCTTGCCCCAGGTGCCTTGGAAGGAGGCGAGCGTCAGAAAGAAGGCCGATCCATACCACCCGATATCTGCCACGGTGTGGAACTCGTCGGTGATTCTGGGAATCGCCGTGGAGACAATGGTGGTGTCGAGGGAGATGAGGAAGATGGCAGCCACCAGGCCGGCCATGATAACACTGAGGGCAAAGCCAGACGGATAATGCATCTCTTGCTCAGGGGCTGGGTCATGGMCCGTGATGGAATCGTTGGGAGAGCTGTCCAGCTCTCGCTTGGACTCTTCGATAGAAGTATTGGACATGATGATTGATGTAAAGTAGAGATGTTCAATTGATTCAATTGACTTGACGATGGACTAGACAACAGTGCGAGCAGTGGACGATAGCCGGAGACGCATCTATATCTATAGGACATCGGAGACATGGAGACTTTCATGCATCTAGTGTTGGCCATATTAGCTAAGAAGCCCTTCTAGACTCGCTCACTTGTCAGCAGATCTCATTTGAAAGCCGACATGGCTCGCTAATGCAGATCTCTGTTGGAACTGAAGAAATCTGCTCATTCCGGCCTGTTTGCAGCATCACCCCATCTGATTCGTCGTGGCGGCAAAGTCTCCGCTAAGTCTCCGAACAACCTCAACTAGGGCAAGGGACGGCCCGTCAGCCAATCCAATGGCGCGTTTATTAGATTCCCTCCTTTTTATTATACTGATCATATGCAGACACGATGAAGCGTAGACGTATCGGTTGAGTTCTACAAGGTACTCACTTGTTCTTCATGCTTCCATTCACCGCATACGAAATCGTCAAGAGATGGACCAATGTCTCCGTATGATTTCTGCCGAAACTGCACTAAATAGATATATTCACTATGGCCTACACCCTATTGCCTAACCCAATTTTAGCAGTTTCTCCCCCAGTAGTCTCTTCAAAATGTAATTTCCGGCCATCGCCTCGCCCCCAGATTTTCGAGTGGATGTTGTCATGATATGACCACATCAGCCCATACAAGGTCAAGATAATCCAACCGAGCCACTGCGGACAGTGTCCATCACTGTCGGTATGCACCCTGATCAGTCGAACCAGCAGACGAAGTGGTGGGCGCCAAAACAGCAGGAAAAGCAGACCTCCCATCTTCGCGCGGAAGGATGTGGGAGGCTCGTACGACGGTAAGGAATCAATATAGGCGCTGTATGCCGTGAGCGGCTTATTCTGTTTGCATCCCGTGGAGATGAGACCCTGCTTCGGGTAAGTATACTGTGCTATATTTCTCTTCTTAAATAAGCTTACCAGGTAGCGCGCACTGGGCGCACCATTGGGTCGCCAGGGGTACTTGGCTTGCAAAGTTCGAGCGATCAAAATACTGCTTGGGTCCGGTTTGCCGTCCTCGTCGAGGATAGAGGCATGGACCTCGACCTCATCGTAGGCGACTCCGCCGCCTTCGCTGATGACCAGCTGGCGGTAATCCTTGGGATTCAAAAAATAGGCGAGACCCTGGACAGGAGGAACGTCACGAGGAGCCTGTTCGTCTCCAAGTCGTAGCGTCGTTTTCTTGTCTGGTGCAAAAGGGGCGACGCTCGCAAACGAAGGCTCAGCGTACGGGATACCGAAGATGTCGAAAGTCAGGTAGTGAGAGGGGACAACAACTGCCTTGATATCCAAGGCCTTAATGCCTCGATTTTCTAGCACAGATAGCCGTAGGTTTGAGCCGTAAGCAAAGTACCAGATTCCCCCGTAGGGGTCTTGCAACATCGCTTTCCCCATGTTGTTTGCTCTTTGCACGTCTGTAAGCAGCGCAACCAGGGAAATATCTTTCTATCCACTGTATCTACGTCTCAACGCACCGACGGCGTCCGAAAATTCGGATGGCGTGTGGGATGGCTACAGGAGGCTGTTTGTTGCCTATAGATATAGGATAGCCAGAGGACCGCAGACATCGTTGCTGCCCCTACCATTGCTAACTACCACAACCTATTTTCAATTCTCTAATTGCCCTATACCCGTGAAAATGACCGAACGCCCGTCAGATCTTGTGGTAAACCGGCTGGTGCTTTTCGTGGTGAAAGGTGAGTCGAGTCAAATTGATCGTCAAGCCCCCCCCCTCACGCCTTGGCTGCAGGCACCGCCACATCCACGCACAACACCGTCAAACCGTTGATCTTGCTCGAGGAACTCGGAGTGCCGCATGACATCTACGTTGTCGAAAAGGTGTCTGCGCCCTGGTTCAGCGAGATCAATCCTCACAAGATGGTGCCCGCCATTCTGGACCGCTCCCCCGACGGCCAGGACACCGTCCGCGCCTGGGAATCCACCTCGACCCTGATGTACGTTGCCGATGCATACGACAAGGACGGAAACTTTGGCGGACGCAACGTGCAGGAGAGGTCTGAAATCAATAACTGGTTGACGCTGCATACGGCGGCTCTGGGGCCCACGGCCAAGTACTGGCTGTATTTTTATAAGCTTCACCCGGAAAAGCTGCCTAAGACTATTGAAAAGTAGGCCGCTGCAAATCTCTGGCTTGTCTCTTAATTACATAGCTAATATGGGCGACAGACTGCGCAGCAACATTACGGTCCAGTATGATATTCTGGAACGTCGCCTCAATGAACCCGGCCAGCAATACCTGGCTCTGAAGGAGCGACCGACCATCGCGGATATTGCGACCTTGCCATTTGCCATGAAATCCACGGCGGAACTGTTTGGTCTGGAGTTTGAGAGATGGCCAAAACTGCAGGAATGGTCGGTTCGCATGAGTGAGCGAGATGCCGTCAAACGGGCATGGCAGCGAGTCGCGGGCTTTGGACACGGCGAGAAGGAGTATGGAATGTTAGAGGCGTGATTCTTACTCGCCCCATTGTTAATAGAGTAGGACAGTTTTATTCAATACAGTTATTCCAACCAATTTATCCGTTTAATCGTAGGTGGATTCTAGGCTGCTTACTAGCTACCCGACGGCTTGGCCCCGGGGTCGACCAGCCCTACGGCACTATCTCCACTACAGTATCCTCCTGTATTTTCACGCTATGGAAGATTCTGGATTATGTCGATCATTCAGTATCTCTATTTCATGGATATATCCAGTTTGTCGCCGAATAGAATCATGATTATAGTTCGGCGACCGAAATGCAGATATGTCTCCATATGTCTCCGAGAGTGTCGAGTATATGTATCCGAGCGCTCGCAATCAACAAGTGTGCAATCCCACAGACTAAGCACAGTTTTACGAAGAAAGGCACAACAATGGCACCAGGTCCACTAGAAAGCGAGACCCCAAACGGCAATGCCACGCCGCGCAAGGGATTCAAAGCCATCGTCAACGAGCTGCGCGAGTTACAGGCACATGTCCAGCGTGTCCAATCCGCTATAGAGTCAACCGAGGTTCAGTCCTGGCTGAATGAGCAGCTCCACCATCCTGACCAGCTCCCCGACAAGGAGCTGGAGCAGCTCGCAGTGGATCTGGTGGACAGTATGGACAAGCTTCAGCTCCAGCTTGTTCCCTCCGTCTCCTTGTTGACTGACGGCTTCTTCGGTAAGCGGCCAGAGCCGTACAAGTAGATTGCCTCCATACTGACAAACGTTTCACCAGGATATCTCAACAGCAAAGCTCTCTGGACCGTTGTCGAAGCCCAAGTGGCAGACCGACTGGCGGAAAATGGTCCGCAGCCCGTATCAACCCTTGGTCTGCGCTGCGGCATTCAGCCCGAGCGGCTTGCCCAGCTGCTGGACACGCTTGTCAACAACGGCATCTTTGCCTATAATGCCGCCGACGATACCTACAGCAACAACCGTGCATCCCTCCTTCTCTGCCACGACCACTGGACCCAGTGGCACCTCTGGGCCGATCTGTATCCGAACGAGTTCTTCGACGTCAGCCGCGCCATGCCGCAGGCCGTCAAGCTAGGCGAGAGCCGCACCGCCGCCCAGATCGCCTACGGTACCGAGCTGGACCTCTTCGAGTACCTCGCCAAAGAGCAGAAACTCGCCAAGTTCCAGAAGACCCTTGGAGCGGGGGCGGTCGCGCAAGCCCGCGGCCTGACCATCGACTATCCCTGGGAGGAGATTGGCTCCGAGCCCATCCTGGACATTGGCGGCGGATCCGGTGCGTTCCTGGCGTCGCTGCTGCGAGCGCATCCCAACCTCCAGGGCGGTCTCATGGATATCAAGTCTGTCATCGAGCTGATCACGCCTGAGTTCCGCGAGGCACACGGTCGGTTCAGCGATATTGGGTCTCGTGTCCAACAGCTCGTTGTGGGCGATTTCACCAAGCAGATCCCGCCGTCCTCGGTGTACACCATGAAATGGTGTCTGCATGACTGGGTCGACGACGATGTGCTCACTATCCTGAAGAACGTTCGCCGGAGTATTGTTCCGTCGCCAGTCAGCCGCTTCCTGGTCGTGGAGTCGATTAAGTCGCCTGGTCGATCGGGCCGTTTGCCTCGGTACGGCGATCTGATCATGATGATTACCTGCAATGGCAAGGAGCGGTCCCTTGAGGACTGGAAACGGCTGGGACAGTTGGCTGGTTGGAAGATTCACCAGGTGCATCGTGTTCGTCGCGCGTGGCCTTGTATCATCGATTTTCGGCCTATCTGGAATTGATTGTGTACATAGACTTTATCTACAGTGAACTACGTTGACTTGACCGAACTGGGCTGATTGCTTGTATGTGATTAAAGTTGTGATTTTATTTCAAAAAGACAAAGGTTTACAAGGTGATCAAGGCTGATTGTGACACTGAACGCTTATTGACTTGGATCGATTCGTTGCGACAGTGCCTCTTTCATGGAATCATACCTCATGCAACTGACAGCCAGACAAACACGGAAGGAACTTGCAGAACCAGGGTACAATCACGAGCGACAGATCAAAAAACTATTCCATTTTGTTACTGTACGACTATTCTAATCCTTCTCGACCTCTCGTCCTACCGGCACACACTGAATCCGCGTCGCAGGCAATCCCACCCAGCTATCCTCCTGCATGAGATTCCTGTCCGCAGCGCTGTCCGCTGAAATGGAGACGACATACTGGCGAATGATATCAGCGACAATGGCCTTGAGCATCCGCTCGCCAATATGCTTGCCGAGGCATTGTCGGGGACCAAACCCGAAGCGCCACATATTATGGCGGACCTACGAAGTCAGTCAGCTCAGAATGTTGGACCTGAATCCAGATCGGGAAATCACATACGTCTGACTTGTTGAGAGTGGAAAACCGGCGAGGATTGTACTGGGTCCCATTGACCCAGAAAGGGTTTTCGATGTTGATCGCTTGAGCGTCCACAATAACATTGGTCTGCATGATATCAACAGCGTGTTCTGGACATCACAGATGGATAGCTACATACATTGGCCGGGATGAGATAGCCATCCACGTATAGATCCTCGGGCGCCGACTCAGGATTGGAAAATGCTGCCAAGGTACGTCAGTGAAGTTCATTATCATTGGGTGTGTATAGGACTCTCACGCAGTATTGGGCGCAGTCGAGCGGATTCCAGCACACAAGCAGCTAGGAACGTGTCGTCCCGGTCAATGTACCGTTCGTACGACTCGCTGGCCTCGTTCTGCAGCGCAGAAAGAACTTCCTGTCGCAGTTCAGCCTGKGCCTTAGTATTCTCCGCCAGCAATAGCACATTCCAGGAGAGGGCATGCGTGGTGACGTCCAGATTAGCGTAGAGCGATTCGTCGAGAGTTTGCAAGCACTATTGCAGTCAGGACATCAGTGTCCATCCGTCTAGACGTGCACTTACTTCACGTTTGCTGATCGTCCCCGCCTGATATGCCTCCCACAGACCTATGACCAGCGGCCTAGGGGATTGATTGCGCTTGACGGCTGCATGGTAGGCGTCTTCGACAAATTGCTCCCACTGCGTCTGGAATTCATTCAAGAGGCGCACTCCCCGCGATTGGAACCAGGGCGCAATGGAAAAACGGTTGATGCCGCCGCGAATGACCTCCTTGAACAATTCCTCCCTTAGCGGGGCAAGTGTGGTGAGTTGGTTACGCTGCATCGGGCTCAAGCGTCCGAACAAGATCTGAGCCACCGCCAAAAATGGATAGAACTGCAAAGTCTTGGCTGGCTCGACTTGAATGATTCCTTTTGTTTCCAGGCTTTGCTCGGATAACGCTAGCAGGGTATTTTGGAGATATTCGCGGGCCAGAGTGACCAGGTCAGCCGTATATCGAGTGGCGGCGGGACGTGAAAAGCCGTCTTCGACCTGCTGCCGAACTCGTTTCCAGTCAGAGCCACTGAGCAGGCCGACGCAGACACCGAGAACTTCCCCGAAGAGCCAACCCGAGTCATTATTCACTGCTTTGGTGTGACGATGTGAGTTGCGGAAGAATTGGACGGCGTGGGTAGGAGTGGTCAGCACACTATCATCGTCAGCATTAGCAGCTAAGAACGTGCCGTGAGGGTAGGGCTCAATCTGACATTTCAGGAGACCAGCCGGACCAAATCTGATATATGGGACCCCATTGCTGTCGCCACTTTTTGGCAGCCGAACGTCCATTGAAGAACTTTTCTGTGCCTTGAGCGTTGGGCCATGTATAACGAGCACGCGGCATGGGATTAACTCCTGGATGATGGGGAAGTGGGTATTTCCGTCGTAGAAAGGCCTATATGGCATAAGTCAGTATTCGTTGGAACGAGCATCAGAAAGGCGCACATCTATAACGACGGAGAGAACCCAGTAGAGAGCAGGTCGGGCCACCACGAGGGCTAGGACCAGACAGGGGAGGAGTATAGTCAGCGCATAAGCCATGGCGAGGGAGTTCAAAAGAGTCAACGGAAGGGTAAACAGAATGATCGGTACAGTAGTGAATAGGGGCTTGTTGATACCTTAACTGCAAGAGACCCCGGCTGCAGGGCTTGCCTAGGGGCTGCAGCCCGTGCTCGGAGGCCGACTTTTCGGCGGCCAAACCACCCCGGGCAATCGGGACAATGCCTATACTGGGAGTACAACACAGGATACCAGTAGGGACTGTAGGTATAGTCCAAAGGAAGTACGCCGCCACTATAGTGCATGAAAGGACGGCCATCCATCCCCGAACCTCTCCGAGAAAAAGGGATATGAAGCATCGACTGCCTCCCAGTTCAGCCTACAGCAACCAAACTTCTCTCAACAGAAAAGAGTCTGGCATGTCTACTCCTTTTTGAATCTTTACTATATTATTTTTTGGCTCAACCCTACGCTCTTAAACATGCCTTCAGTAGTAGCCCTCGACCTCTGCCAGCTTTTTGCGCGGTCCGTCGCCCGGACGCCACACCAGCTGGCAGTCGACCATGAGAGTGGCTCGCTCACCTATGCAGAACTTGATGTGGCCTCATCGAACCTGGCTCAAAAATTGCAGCAAGAAGGAGTAGTACCTGGCGAAGCGGTGCTCTTGCTCACCGAACACGGCACCCGGAATATTGTCGCACTGCTTGCCATTCTTAAGGCCCATGCCTGCTATGTACCCCTGGACCGTAGTTCATGGTCATCAGAGCGGATCCAGGCCGTGCTGGACGGGACGGATGGCCGTATCCTCATCAACACGACCGTCGAACCGTTTGAAAGCTCGCGGCACAAAGTCATCCATCTCACCAGTGCCGGTGTGGCCGCTCTATCGACAGACCGCAGCAACATCAAGGCCGCTCCCGAAATCGCTCCCGAGGACCTCGCCTGTCTGATCTTCACCAGTGGTAGCACGGGAGTGCCCAAGGGGGTCATGATTCCACACCGTGCGGTGGCGAACTATGCCCAAACGAGTCCATTCAACATGGATGTGCAGCCGGGAGACCGAGTACTTCATATCCTGTCGGTATCTTTTGATGGTAGGCATCCCTGCGTGTTTTGTATGACCAAACGCTCACTGTATAGCCTCGACGGGTATGCTCTTTTCCATTCTAGGCAACTCGGGCATCGTGGTCCCTGCGACAATGGATACCCTCTTCGACAAAGCGCAGACCTGCTCGATCCTCGCGTCGACCCCCTCCATCCTGGCTACTCTACCGCTGCCAACGGCATTGCCAGATAGCTACCCATATGTCCATACAATTCTGTTGGGTGGAGAGTCACCACCAGCCCCGTTGCTGTCCAGCTGGCTTGAATTCGGTGTCCGCATTCTGAACGCATACGGTCCCACGGAAACCACCTGTGCCTCGTTGATGCAGGAAGTAGAGGTCTGCCAGGAGACGGGAATGATCAACCGGAGTATCATCGGTCGTCCCATGCCCAACGGACCGGTATACTTGCTGCAGCCGGACACTCTTCTGCCCATTGAAGAGGAAGGCGAAGAAGGTGAGATTGCGATTGCAGGCGTTGGGCTGGCCCACGGCTACTACCGGAACGCTGCCCTTACAGCTGAGAAATTCATCGACTGGCACGGCAAGCGAGTCTATCGCACTGGCGATCAAGGACGCTGGACCCGTCGTAACGATGGCCAGCTCGTGGTCGAATTCCGCGGCCGCAGTGATCGCACCGTCAAAAATCGCGGCTTCCTCGTCAATCTACCGGCCGATGTGGAGGAACCTTTACGCCGAATGGGCTTCGGAGTCACCGACGTCTATGCTTCGCTGATCAACGGTCTTTTGGTAGTGCTGGTGACCCCGGCCACTGCCGATCTGGAGGGCCTGCAGACCGAGGCCCAGCGTCGACTTTCTTCATTCCATCGGCCGGGACGATACCTGGGTGTCGATCAATTTTCGCTGTCAGCCAATGGAAAGATTGACACCAAGGCAATTGAGAACATGCTGAAAGAGTACCAGGCGCGTCTCTGCGAGGGCTCGGAAGATGAAGATACGACAGGGGTAGAGCGTCCTACGGAGCGCGAGGAAATCATAGCCGAATGCATGTGCACTGCTTTGGGACTGGAACTCCCGTCTGCGTCGATGTCCAAGGATATCAATTTCTTCGCCGTGGGGGGTAACTCTCTGGCTGCTCTTCGATTCACGTCATTGTGCCGGGAACGGGGCATCCTTCTCACTACTCGTGATCTGTACTTGCATCCGACAGTCAGAGGCATTCTCCCGTATGCTCGAGACCTGCCTCGGTCTGGTCAATTATTATCCGACGAAGACGAGCATATCAATGACCGACTATCTCTCAAGGCCGAGGTCGCTGCTGCAGTTCCACTCTTGGACGGCATTTTTCCATCCAACATGGAGGTCGCTCCGTTGACCCCTCTGCAGTTGGAGCTGAGCGCCCCCATGTTCCAAAGCGATGGGACCAACACGAATCAGCTGCGGCTATCATACCCCTTGGCCACAGCCGATCGCATTTGCAATGCATGGCGGCAGGTCTGCCTCAGTGAACCCGTCTTCCGAACGCAGGTCGCGCTTGACATCGGACCCGGCGTGCAGATCGTTCACCCTCAGCCACGGTGCCAGCCGCAGGAGATCATCTTCAATCGCCGGGACGACTACAACACTGCCTTGACCGATCCTTCGCGTCTGGCTGTGGGACTCGGTATGCGGTTGGATTTTATGAAATTCATCCCTAATGACCACGATGAAGAGGAGGGTGAGGTGACCATTGTCTGGACGGCCCATCACAGCTTGATTGACGGCTACTCTTTGGGACTGGTTCTGGCGCGGGTGCAGCAGGCGGCCCAGGGGGTTACACCTTCCCTCTCCTCTTCCTTTGTGGACGCAGCGTGGAACTTGCAGAGAGTGCAGAAGCAGAGAGACGCCGAGGCAAGGCGGTTCTGGGAGCAATACCTGCGGCCGGTGCGGTCACTCACAGGGACAAGCGCAAACCCAACGCCAGTATCACAGCCGTACCTTGCTCAGGAGGTCCTGTTCAAGCATGTCGGCGGCGTGGACGAGTTGCACCGACTCGCGTCCAGCTGCAGTGTCACCCTGGCGGCTGTCTACTACACCGCGTGGGCCATGGCCTTGGCGCGGACGACCAAGACCAACCTGGTAACTCTGGGAGTGGTCTTCTCCGGTCGAGAGATTCTCCCGGACGATGCTCATGCCGTCGGGCCATTGATGGCCACCCTGCCTTGGGTATGCAGCCTTGAGGCAGACGCATCCATTGAGCGCCAGCTGCGGAGCACACTCGAGGGTCTGGCCACTATTAGCGCCTACGCCTGGTCCGCCCCGGATCAGATCGGTTACCGCGTGGAGTCTCTACTGGCGACTCAGTATGACTTTCCGGCCTACGACCAGCCCCTCCCACCTCGAGAGGAGCAATTCTTTGAGAACACGACATTTGCGTTGAGTCTACTGGTCGAAAAGGATGCTCGTTTCCGTTTAGTGTACAATCCTTCTGTGCACTGCGAGCAGACGGTGCAGCAGTATGCCGATACCTTCCAACAGGCGCTCAAGGCGCTGGTGAATGATTCGACTTTGGAGGCATGGCTCACAGGACCAGTAGAGACACCCCTTGCGGTGGACCAGCCTTCTTCTGATCACAAGCGAGACAATGTACCAAATGTGGCGGCGGCATTTTATGCTTCGGTCGACCTCCACGAGGATTTGGTCGCCGTAGACGGGCCTGGAGGCTCGTTCTCCTATCGGACACTGGATCAGAAGTCCAACGCGGTAGCCTCGCATATTGCAAAACACTTCCCCAGCGCTCAGGTCATAGCTATTCATGCAGACGGAACCCTCAACTGGGTGGTGGGGATCTTGGGTATCCTGAAAGCCGGCTGTGCCTACTGTCCGCTCGATCCTGCGTATCCCATGGCGAGACGGGTCGCAGTGTACGAGCAAAGTGATGCCAGTGCACTCTTGATCCCTAATGCCTGCACGTCGACGGCGGCGATCCTGCCAATAACCGACCTCCGCGTCTTTACAGTTCAGGAATGCGAGACAGGTGACACGAGTAGGAAACTGTCGCTCCTCGCCAACGCAAACGAGGATGCCCTCATCGTGTTCACCTCCGGCACGACCGGTCGCCCCAAGGGGGTCCCGATTAGCCACAGGGGCCTTCTGGCTTTGCAGTCGAATCCCGAAGCTACCATGTTCAGCCGTCCTGGCCGTCGTATTGCTCAGTTCATGTCGCCTGCGTTCGACTACTGCTCCAACGAGATTTTCTCTGCGCTGCTCCATGGCGGCACGCTGGTGCTTCGTGACCCATCTGACCCTCTGGCCCATCTGGCCAAGGTCGATGTGTCAACAATTACTCCGTCCGTGCTCAGCGTGCTGAATCCAGACGACTATCCTAACCTTGACATGGTATATGCGACAGGAGAGCCCGTCACTCCGGGCTTGCTCGCTCGGTGGGGCGAGGGCCGAACATTTTACAACGCCTATGGTCCTGCAGAGGTAGGTTCGAATTCTACGTCAAAGACTTCTGTACTAGACTAATATCGTTAGTGCTCTATTTGTACGTCGTTTACACGCCTAGTGCCCGGACAGCAGGTCACCATCGGAAATGCGATTCGCACCGCACGAATGTACATCTTGGACCCCGATCTACAGCCTGTGTCGGAGGGCCAGACCGGCGAGATTTTTCTGGCCGGACAACAGGTGATGCGGGGCTACGTGGGAGACGACGCCAAGACTGCTTACAGCGTGCTGCCGGATCCTTGGCATGCTGGTGAACGGATGTATCGCACGGGCGACTACGGCTACTGGAACGCGGACAGGCAGATTGTCTACATTGGACGGCTAGACCGGCAGGTCAAAATCCGCGGCTTCCGCGTCGAGCTCGCGGCGGTCGAGCAGAAGATGTATCAAGAGGAGCCACGGCTTACACAGGCGGCTGCTCTCGTCGTCAATGATACCCTGGTGGCCTTTGTCATGCCGCAGGACGTGGATGTCAGCCTTCTGGAGCAGCGACTGCGCGAGTCGCTCCAGCCCAGCTGGGTGCCTCAGGTGATTACTGCCCTCGAAGAGTTCCCCTGGACGGCCAACCGCAAGGTCGACTATCGCAAGCTGGCGGAGATAGCCACTCTGACACGGCCGGAGGAAGCCCTGCCGCAGCAAAAGACCAGTGCAGGGATCACGACAAAAGATGCCTCTATCGCAGACGGAATAGCAACCCTGTGGAAGAACGTGCTGCGTCTACAGGCGGGCGGCACCGCTCGGAAACTCTGCGAGGAGGATGACTTCCGCGCGCTGGGCGGCCATTCCGTTCTGCAGATGATGCTGGCGGCTCGCCTCGGCAGCACCTTTGGCATCTCCGTGTCTATGCGCGATGTGATTGAACATCCCACCCTGGCCGAGCAGGTCGAGCTGGTACGCCGCAAACGTCAGGGCTCGAAGTCCAAGCCGCGGACCATCTGCGACGCGTTTCCCGATCATTGCCTGTCGCCGTTGGAGAGGCAGACGTGGTTCCAATACCTGATCGCCTCTGACGTGCGCACATTCAATATCCCTGTCCTTCTGCACCTTGGCGGGACCTTTGATCGTGACCGACTGGTCCAGTCCTTCAACGCCGTGTTGGCCTCGTGCAAGATCTTCCGCACCAACTTCGTCGAGACGTCGCTCGGACCGTGTCGAATCTTCCGCGATACGCCGCCACGAGTCCTGGTGTGCGACGGCGCACTAGACACGGCCAGGGAGGTCGACCGGGGCTTTGACCTGGCTCGTGATGAGCTCATCAGGATCTTCTTGGACCGCCGCACCCTACTCGTGGTCACCAGCCACGCCGTCGCCGATCTCAACAGCGTGCAGAATCTGCTGCAGGAAGTCTCGGCCGTGTACGCGAAGAGACTAACACCGAAAGCAGACCGATGGCACTATCCCCAGGCCCCGGCCTGGTCGCGCCAGGTCACCGAGCAGGAACGCAAATTCTGGTCCAAGTATCTCGAGGGCGCTCCCCGGCGCCTGGACATCCCGCGGTATCCCGGCCAGATGACCTTTGAAGGCCGCTCCCGAGTCTCCGAGTTCAAGGGAGACATTGTTCGACGCGTTGTCGCCTTAGGCCAAGAGTACGGCATGAGCCAGCACCAGCTGGTGTGCGCGGCCGTGGCACAGACGCTTCAGTGGCTCTCCGGCTCGAACGACGTCGTGCTCGGTTCTCCGTGGGCCAACCGCGGCCACGCCGTGGAGCAAGAGTCGATGGGTCTGTTCCTCGATCGCCTGCCCCTCCGCTTCAAGACGCCCATCAATGCAGACTGCGCCACTATCCTACAGTCTACCCGCGAAGCAAGCCAAGCGGCCGTCTGCAATGCCATTCCCTTCGAGCAGGTCCTGAACCTCCTCCACCTGCCGCGGACCATTCGGCAACACCCCCTCTTCGAAGCCATGGTCACCTTCCACCTGAAGGGGGCAGTGGAGGATTGTTTCGCCATCGAGGGTCTGGAGGTAAAGCGGGAGATGTGCTTTGCGTCGGGGGCCAAGTTCCTGCTCATGTTCGAATGGACCGAGATCGCCACGGATCATTGGACCCTGCGCATTGAGTACGATGATCACCAGCTGGACGACGCAACCATCACCACAATTGAGGAGAGCATCCGGTGTGTCCTCGAAGGGCTGGCCGAGCGCCTGTCTCGAGCCGCCATCCACGAACGCCTGAATGCGATGAACAGCAAGGCCAAGACCAAAGTCGACTGGAACTTCTACCACCGTCTGGTTGGAATTCTGCGCCGAGAGATGGCCTCCTGCTTGGGTATCTCGCTAGACGAGTTTCCCTGCTCCGTCTCCTTCTTTGAGGCAGGCGCCGACTCAATCCAGGCCTGGCGTTTAAGCCGTCAGTTGAAAAGGGTTGGGCTGGAGGTTCCCATTTGCACCATCTTCGATCATCCGACGGCGCAGGATCTGGCTCAGCGTCTTTATCGTCAGGTACTTTAGCTTTCTCGGGCAGCTTAGATTGTAGATATTGCTTTAGATTGTTCATCTGTCATTAACCTCTGTATTTACGTATACTCCTGTCACCTACAAATAGCTAACCCTATCAATCAAAAATATTTGTTGGAATATTTAATGTCAGTAAGAGTACATGTATTTTTACGCTGGTCTATCTGCTGAAGACTGGATACTAGAAGATTAATCTTCATACAAGTAAGATATTATTACTTATTGCCAGTTAGAACTACCTTCATCTTGAACTAAATCATTCCATCAAGCCAGAGGAAGATTACCTGAAGCTGAAAGTCCAACATATCATATCATGAATTCGATTCTATCATATCCTAAATGCCCATTCCTCTACTCTTGAGGGAACAACTTCCTCACTCGTTTCCGCTCCCGCGTCAACTGCCCCTTGATATCCTCATTCCACACCTCGTCCAACCCATCGCACAGACATTCTTCCCCGGCCCCTTGAAGCTCTGCGGCAACACGCTCCACCTCCTCCAGCACGCGAATGACATTCAATCCCATCACTCGCTTAACGTCCTCCTCAGCCACACCGCGCTGAAGCAACCCGGCCACCAGGGCAGGATAGCACGAGACATCATGCAGCCCGTCCGGACCGCGGAGCATGCCGTCAAAGTCAGACCCGATGCCGACGTGCTCGTACCCGATCCGCGTCCCGGCGTAGACAATATGATCGATGACGTGGCTGAGCGCGGCCTGGTCCGCCTCAGTTGCCAGCAGCTCGCGCAGGAAACAGATCATGATTACGCCTCCGTTGCGTTGCAGCAGGTGCAGGTTCTCGTCGGTGACGTTGCGAGCGTGCGCGCAGAGACTATATCTTTAGTACCCCCCGTGGATGTTAGTAGACCCTACCTTTAACTGAATAGTCTGGTTCTTACATGGAGCAATGAGAGTAGATGACGGGGGCTCGAGAAAGCCGCAGCGCTTGGGTTTGAGCCTTGTGGGACGTGTGCGAGAGATCGATCATCCTAGCACAATGAGCCACACGTATACAGTTGCAGAGGCAGATACATACATCCCCATTCGGTTCATCTCTCGAATCAGCCTTTCTCCCTTGCGGGATAGTCCTCCGTGGATCTCAGGGTATACCGTCGCCGCATCAGCAAAGAAATTGTGACAATTGTGTGTCAGCGTCACATAGCGAACGCCCAGTCGATAGAGCATGCGCAGGGCGCTGACACTGTCGGCGATCTGATGGAGGCCTTCCACCCCGATCAGACTCGCGACGCGGCCGGCACGGAAGCTGCTCCAGATACTGGCGGCTGAGTCGGCAAATTGCAGGACTGTCGGGTGTGTCTCGATCAATCGGTGGATTACATCGAGCTGTTGAAGCGTCTGGCGGAGGGCTTCTAAACTGCCGACCTCCCGATCTGGGTTCTTGGGGCTGAATCACAGTTAGTACAATGATTCTTTATGAGCACGAAAACGGAAGAGTAATGCGGACTCTTACCAAGGGACATATGCGCTCCAGAACTGGCCGCCCAACAGCCCCTTCTGTAGACGCTGGAGATCCGTCTGGCCGATTGGCATATCATACAGATGGGCATTCTGGCCATTGATGTCATTGCGAAACCATCCGCGTATCATGTACGGAAAGTCATTGTGGCCGTCGATCAGAGGCACCTCTTTCAGAAGCCTCTGGGCCTGTTCTTCGATCGCGCTCGGAGTCATTCTAGGGCTGGTAAAATCTCTAGCTGAGTTTGGTATAATTTCTAGCTGAATTTGGTATCCTGTCTAGCATGGTGATCTGTCTTCCATTTCTTCGTTGTGTCTCGCGGAGGACAATGTACCCTACTTCAGCCTCTCAATTCGGCCACCGAAATCCAAGTTCCATCCACTCATTCGAATCTCTATGCAAAACATGTTATTGTTGATTGGTTTTCGTCAATCTCGGATTCCGATATTCTTTTACAAAGTAGCTTCAATAGATAGAAGCGTGCTATCTTTTCAAGCAGTTGATCATGACATGCTGAAGTCCATCTAACAAGTCAGATCGGGTATAACACCAACAGCGACAACACAATGCCATCAGAGACAATTACTGCCTCCCTGGCACATCGTTCTCGCGCAAACATCCAATGGTTCATCAACAAGCATATGCGACAGGTGTCTCGGCTCAATGCGAAACAGAACCGAGTCAATATGATGACGGCGGAGAACTGGTCCGTCCGAGACGAGCTCGTCGACCAGTACAAGGCTCTCTTCACCAAACATCTCTCTCCTCGCCATCTGTCCTACGCAGACGGCATGGGTGGTGACGCAGAGCTCCTGCAGGCCGCGTCGGACTTCTTCAACAGGGTGTTTGCCGCGCATACCCGCGTCGAGCCGGCCCACGTTGTCGTTGGGGCCGGATGCAGCTCATTGCTGGAGAATCTGCTCTATGACATCTGCGAGCCGGGGGAGGGAGTATTAATCGAAACGCCGTTCTGGGGTACGCAACAGTCTGGGTTTGTTGCACGGCATGGTTCTTGCTGACGGGTTTACAGGTGGCTTCGAGACGAGCTTTGTCCTGCGCTCCAACGTCACGGCTGTTCATGTTACGCCTCCATCTAACGGCGATGAATCTGTATTCGAGGATCCAGATCATCTCGTGTCGGCGTATGTTGCGGCGTACGAACGGGCCCTTCGTCAGGCCCCCTGCCGCATCAAAGCCATCCTCCTGTGTAACCCCCACAATCCTTGCGGTCATATCTACCCCACCAAAGTAATCCAGGCATTGCTCCAATTCGCCCAACGGCATGATCTATTCTACATCTCCGATGAGATCTACGCCCTCTCCACGCTTGACGAACAAACCCCTTTCACCTCGGTCCTTAGCATCGATGTGTCCGCCCTAGGGGTAGATCTGGCGCGCGTGTTCACGCTATATAGTATCAGTAAAGACCTAGGAAGTAGCGGTTTGCGTCTGGTATCTATGATCTACACCATATATCCCCCCTTTATCAAGAATTCTCAGTACTAATACCGTTGCAGGGCTTCGGCATCACCCAAGCACACCCTGACCTGCGGCTCTCCCTCGCCATCTCGAACCATTCCCGCGTCTCGACATTCACCTCGCTCGTCACCACCGAGCTGCTCCGCGACCCTGCGGCCACTGATACAATCCTGCATCAGAATCGAGCCGCACTGCAGCGCAGCGCAAAGCTGGTCTGCGACTTTCTCACCTTCCACCAGATCCCCTTTGTGTCTCCGGCCGCTGGGGTGTATATCTGGGCGCGACTGGGGTGCAGATTAGCATCACGGCCGGGTGGTGAGCCAAGCTGGGAGGACGAGGCCCGTTTGAATGATCTATTCGAGGCGGCGGGGGTGTCGGTAGGCGCGGGCCAAGGGTATTGTGCGCGCGAGCCGGGCTGGTTTCGGATTACTTTTGCGCTTCCGCGTGAGGAGCTCGTGGAAGGGCTGCAGCGGATCGAAGAGGTGGTTGGAACGGAGGGAAGGAGATGGACGGTTGATGGTGTGCAACGATAGACAAGTCGGTATATTATAGCTTTCAACTATCCTGTTTGTTGAGACTGCGGTACTTTTCATATACATCCGTACATTGAAACATCTATCCATGTTACTCATTCTGGTTTATTAACATTTAGTTGGTGATAGTATGGCTGTAGAACCGGCAAACTGCACTATATCTGTTTGAACATTAGCCTGCTGTAAAATGCTCTTGTCACCCGCAGTCTGCTATCAGTAAATGGTCGGAAGATACCATTGCGGACTCTACTACAGTTTCAACAATGCTACTTGCAGACATTTCACATAGATTATACTGTCCTTACTGGTATCAATGCCCTGTTATAAGGTGATATAGAAGATTAGTAGATCAACCTTCGCCCTATACATCTCACACATATATATTTACCACATACAATTAACATAAGATGGCTGCCATTTCGCTGACACATATAATGATTCATGAGAAGTCCTGCTCTATCGCTATACAGATACCCGAAACAATCAAACAATTCATAATCATGCGATTTGCAATTTTAACACATATTTTTTTTTTTTTCTTTTTTCATTTTATTCGTCTTATCCCAGAAGGCGTCATCTAAAGTGAGATCTTGAACGCACGCTCTAAAATGGATTATCTTCCTGGTGCTCGCCCGAAGAAGTGCCTCATTCTTCACGGCGAACGGTATTGAATGGAAATAAAGAACTGGGGTAATTACCGTAATTCATACATCTGCCTCCTTAACCGTTCACGCTTTGCGTGGGTCTCGGTGGCAAAAGAAGCTAGGAAGCTTCAGGCTGGGCTGGCGTTCACCCTAGCAACTTGCACAGTCGAGCCGGTATCTGGACCAGCGTGCTCTGAAACTGGGCAGCTTCGGCCGAGCATGAAAGATCAAACAGCTGTTTAATGTCGGGGGGGAATGGGAAGGAGGACGAGGAGGAGGAAGAAGAAGAGGAAGACGAGTCAAGGGGATCAAAGACATACCCGCGGCCGGCGCGGGAAGCGGGTCCACGGAGCAGATCCCAGATCTGCCAGCAGACGGCCAATAAGCGGCGCACCGCGGACCGAATCAAGATGTTCAGAATCTCATTATGCTCATCTTCGTCGTGGTCTTCCGGAAGAGGGGCGATTTGGTAGTTTCCCAGCTGCAAGAACGGATTGGTGGCATTGCTATTGCTCGACGGCAAAAAGAACTCGGAGCTTGGCGTGACTAGGTCCTCGTCACAGTCGGCGGAGGTCATACCTGAGCGGCCCGACTTGAAGACAGGGGGTTCGGACCCTGTGTGGGTGGTCTTTTCAAGGGCTGTCGTTGCCAGCTGCAGCGCGGTGACTGCCATGCTGATACTGCCAGCATCTTTTGGGCAGTGTGAACAACGATAGAAGGCGGAAAATGCACGAGCAAAGTTCCGGACAAAGACAAACGTGGCATCAAATCGACAGATATCTCGAGAGGTTAGGTTGCTGAGAATCTGGAGGCATTTGCAGGAGCGCAGCAGCTTGGATCGAGGATCCAGCAGCTCCTTGCTCGCCGGCTGGCACTCAGGCTCGGCGATCGTGCTCCAGAAAAGGGAGTCATTGGGGTCATGGTCCGGGCCTAACCCTGACTCTATTAAGGGGAACGAATGGTCGGAATCGGATATGGACGGCAAAGGAGGGATCCAGTCCGTCGAGAACGCAGTACTAGCTCCGGTATCCTCACTGCAGCTGGAGAAAATGGGGTTCAATTCCTCCTCGTCGTCGAACAGACCGAGACAGTCGTCAGCGCCGGGAGACGCTGCCGCGGACGTGGTGGCGGTTGTTGCGCCTGTTGCGGCAGCCGCGGTGTCAGCAGCTGCCATTGTTGCTGTGGTTGTAGCGGTGGCTGTGGCGGAGGCTGGGGCGGACGGGGGGGGAATCCCCGCTATCCGAGCGGCGTCTGCCGCAGCCGCCGCCACCCGCTGCTCCCGCTCCAGAGTTTTGCGACTGCGGGCCCCCTTGGGTTTACCGCAGCGTGAGGAATAGCTGTAGGTACATGGGCTCATATACTCATGGCATCGGGTACAAGGGTTGCCGCCCGAGCATCGAGTCTTGGATCGGTGACAGGCATCGCAGGCAGACCGTAGCTTGCGAGGCTTGTCTGGTTTGGGTGTGGGAGTAGTAGTAATTATAGACGGAGTCGACATGAAAGATGGCGACACATCTTGCATTGCTGTCGCCATCGCTGACGAGTAGTTAGCTTTGGTCAGGCCCATGGAGGAGGTAGACTAGCGACCTTAAATATTAGCAGCAACGCCTCGGAGGAGAGAACGTGTTTAACCTCCTTTAACCTCCCATCACTTTGCACCATCACTTTGCAGCACCCTGGCAAGGGGGTATTCTGACACCTGAATGGTCTCCGTGCATGCCGATTACGCTTTGCAGCATCTGGCCTGTCAGAGAACAAGGAGAGTCTCTGTCACGACTTGATCCGCCCTCCAACTAAATTGACCTCGATTCAGTCGACGTGACAATGTGAATCGGTCCGTCCTGAATCTGAACCACTAGCAGTGGTTTCCTTGCGCCTCAGAATCCTTCGCGCATGCAGCTTACAATTTTGGAGCGCCTCTGACGATGTGGATCAGCCTGTCAGACGGAAAAGAAAGGACGATGAATGTCTCGGCACCTAGTCCCGCAATCAAACTCAATTGACTAGAGTCATGCCAAGTTGATGTTGACAACGTCCCTCACAGCCCTCATCCATCCAGGATGTGAGGCTCTTTACACTACAATCCAGTGCACGAGGAGACACAAGCAGTCTGCAGCCAGCATGGAACGTGCTTGTGCAACATGGTGAAGAAAGCGATCTCTCACTCAAGGCCTGCACGGTTCTTCCCCCCGCCAACCGATTGGTCCAACCGAAACAGCGAGGCAGCCAAGAATCGCGTGCGGAGGATGTGTCAGTAATCTGCAGTTCAGAGGGACGATCACCAACAACACGACTCAAAAGCGAGGATCTGGTTGGCTGGTTATGTGCATGCTGAGGACCTTGTTAGGTCAACGCGGTTGGGGGCGGGAAGCTCGAGTCAACGGTCTCGTCCACGTCGGAGACATTTATGCAAGTAGACTTGCACAGCACGGAAACAATAATATGTTACGGAGTCCGTACCCCCAATCAGCTGCGCTCTACCGCGGCTCCTACCTAGGGGCTTGGTTGATCATATACCAATTACCCGCTTTGGCGAATCGTCACTCTCGGCGGACGCCGCACTGACCCCGTCTAATCATCATCATAATATAGAGAGAAACGCTACTGCTCTTACAGCGTCACCGATTCAGATCATTTTTAGTTCTTCTAGAGGGTTCGACTGCTAGTGCTTACGGCGTGCAGGGGTCTTTTGTAAGTCTCTTCCACGGATGCTTTTCGAAGGGTTATATGAGAAATATCTGAAGCTATTCACATTTTCATTCTTATTTACAGCAGGAGGAGGTCCTGGGACGTGTACGGATCAAAATGTACACGACATAATCTGGATCCTGTATATAATAAGTCGGGATATAGAAAAAGCCTACTGGCCGGTGGCCACGCGGGCAATAGATGCATGGTTCTTTAGGTCCCCGGAGCTTTACGCTTTAATAGGTCCTATGAGCATCTAGAAGGGCCTTCTGCTCCATTCTACCCCATTCTATAAGTATAATTGTCCTCCGAATGCAGTCATTCTGAATACAGTCTAGTAAGTGCGGTGGTGCGGCCACTAGCTGTCAAATAATGGCAGGGATGGCAATAACAAATACCACCGGAGTACTCCGTAGTGTAGAACTAGATCAGTAGAGTAATATTAGGTGTTTACTAGGAGGAGATTAGTTGCTTAACTTTAGATATGCGTCCGTGGAAATCCAAGCCTCTCTTCCTTTCCTACTACTTTGGTTTTTCTTCTTACACTCTTATTTTTCCTTCTGTTCTTAGGTAGCCTCTGTTTTACTAGTTTTCTGCCTTCTTTTTCTTATACATCATCAGCCTGATTAGCATAGCAGGCATGTGGTGTGAGTACACTACAGTTATAACCAGAGGCGGAGGCAGAATATTATCATTTCCCTCAGTTTTGGGGGGGGGGGGGGGGGGGGGGGGGGGGGGGGGGGGGGGGGGGGGGGGGGGGGGGGGGGGGGGGGGGGGGGCGCACGTGCGGTTATGCTGGGTGGTTAGACCATGTTTCTTGCAGACTTTTAGTTAAATTTAATTGTGCCATATATATTTACTACTTACTATTCATTAGCCAAGCCCTAGCCGAAGAGAATGAATAGGATTTATCGTTGCGATTAGTGTGTTAGTTGGCGTTTGCTAAAGCGGCAGACAGTGGGAGATATCGAGTATATCGAGGATAGCTTCATTAAATCCCCTAGTCAGATCTGTGAAGAATTCTCCTCCATAATTACACGCAAGCCAGACGAGGTACGAAAGTTACACTGACAAACGGGGATTGATCCCTGCCTATCTTGATGCATAAGATTGACGGTATAAACGTGATGACCCGAGTTGTATGATGCCCAATGAGCCTTGGCTTTCATCCACAGCCTCATTCTTGGACGGATTGTTCATTAATCATTAAATAATTATACACATTCGGAGTCTTCCATATGTTTCCACCTGACAGTAGGGGATAATTACCTTCCTAATTGGTTAATTGGTCTCAGGATATTCTCGTAGGGCTGAACTCACGAATCTAACAGCCAGGTGACAGGTCAGCTCAGCTTATCCGCTTAACTGTACATCTGGGCTACGCCTAGAATCGGCCCCTCCTTCTCAATCAACAATTCAGTATCCCACTTTGGCCAGATCTCCGGCAGTGGCTTCCTAGCCACACCTTGAACAATGACACGTGGCCGTGAAAACATTACTGATCGACGGCTGAGAACGATCTAAGCACTCATAGACGGAGCCACAGGAGACGGATCATTGGTCTGAACAAGGTCTGGGTGGTATCAGATTTCAAGTGTGTCTGCAGACCTCCATACCCTGGGACCTGCATAGTTGAAACTATATGGACAAAAGGACGGTTGATTTCGCCCGAGAGGGAGTGAGAGGTAGAGCTCTCTCTTCAGTCACAGCATGTGCTGTCTCTCATGCCAATCACAGTCTCACATAACCCTTTCTAATTCAGAAAGGAAAAGAACTGCTAAGGAAGAAAAGGGGGAGCTTGAGAAACAAAGTGAATGGCATACAAGATCAGAATATATTAAAAGAGAGCAGCTAGGGCTACTGATCAATATGCAATGGAGTGCATCCTAATATTAACTAGCTTGGTCCTCCAGGAGGTCCAGGAATTTAGCGGTTTGCTGTTATCCTTTTAGGCAAGCTGACAAACGTCAAACAAAAACCATGCTCTAAACAACAGGAGAAAGCTGCTAATGCCAGAGACATCATGATGCTCCATGCCAGAACCCATCCAGCTCAACATATTTGCACCATAGCGGGTCATGCACAATGCGCTTCATTGCAGACGACTCCAGAGAGATGTTAAACTCCCACGGCGCAGTCTTATCTTCACTTCGCTGCGCCATCACAAAGATTAGACCGTCGGTGTACCCGTCTGGAGCTCTCATCCGGAGCGGTATGCCCAATGCGCCTCCGAAGTCAGCATCGTACACTCCAGTCTCGCGCCAGTTACTGAGGTAGAGGTTCTCTGTATCGAAGGTCACTGAAAGATGACACGGAGACTTTTGCACGTATGAGATATAGTTGCGGAGATAGTTGTCATCGATTGTGTTCAGCTTCGCCCTGAGTCCGTACGTGACTTGGCAAAAGGCCATGGCCCATTCGTCGCCTTCCAAACTGTCAGGGCAGAAACAAGCAGTAGCCTCCATGTTGGCGACGTTGTCATGTCCAGGCAAAGCAAACAAATATAGTGGGACATTCTCCCGCAGAAGACACACGGCGTTACCTAAAGACGATTTGGGTAGTGGCGGTGCCAGTCGAGAGCGAATGTTCAGTGGCAGACCCAGGCTAGATGTCGCATTCAGGAGGTCCGGTGGAAGCTGTTTAAGGCTGCACTCCCGTAATTCGGGATATCGGGCTCGACTGATACAAGCCCACAAAAGAGCAGCAACCACATCGTTACTCGAGACCCAGGCCCTTTCAGTGCCATCCTGCGTTGAAAGCCCATACTTTTTCATCGAGCAGGATTTACAGCGGGTATGGTCGCAGATCCTCGCGATCCCTCTGGACAGCATTGGCGCGGAGGACAGCTTCTTCCATCTCGGAGGTGACTCCATCACTGCCATGCAAGTCGTTGCAGAGGCACCGTCTCGCGGCCTGGAACACACCATCCAAGATATCAATCAACTCAAAACTATCGAAGCAATTGCCAGAAAAAACGGGGGGCTTCCTTCCAACATTGCACAGCCCGTTGTACAGGATGAGGTGACAAATGAGCTGTTTGTCTTGACACCGATTCAAGGATTCTTCTTCGAAATGTACTCTGAGGGAACCTGCTGGTTCAACCAGAACACCCTCGTCCATTTCCAGAGGCAAGTTGCAGACAGCGACATGGAGAGGGCGGCAATCAAGTTGGTCCAAAATCACGCAATACTACGTGCTCGCTATGCCCGACAGAAGGACGGGTCGTGGAAGCAGTTTCTCGTGGGCCGCGCCAGGCAATGCTTCCATTTCAGCGTGCACAAGGTCAATTCAGTACAGGAGATGCGCCATATAATCGGCCAGATTCAGACATCGCTGGACCCGGAACACGGCTCAGTCTTTATCGTGGATCTGTTCGAACAGAACGGACAGCAGTCCCTTTTCATGATTGGGCATCACTTGGTGCTTGATCTTGTTTCCTGGCGCATTATCCTAGCTGATATGGAGGCGATGATTCTTGACCTTCAACACCAGCCCCGGCTCACAATGTCCTTCCAGATATGGGCTCGTCTGCAGGCCGACTACGGCGCACGTCATCGGAACCACCACCCGTTTATCAGCTCTGCAGTCTAGACGAGTCCTCGATGCGCAAGTTCTGGGGGGAGAACAACGCAAGCACAGGGGGAGACTCCAGGACGAGGCTGATCCGCCTGAACGAGCAACTTACCAACAAGCTCTTTGGCCCTTCCAGCCAAGCTCTGGACGTCGAACCGGTTGAGCTCCTCCACGCCGCCATCCTCTTCTCTTTCGTACGCACCTTTCCTCAGCGCCATGCTCCGTGCATCTTCGGTGAAGCTCACGGCCGCGAGACATGGGATGCCTCGATCGACGTCACCCGAACGGTCGGATGGTTCACCACTCTCTGGCCTGTGGCCGCACAACTAAGCCCGTCTGGTAGTCTCGTGACGGCTGTCCGTACCGTGCGGCAAGCTCGACGGGCGATGGTGATGCACGGATGGAAACATTTCAGTCGATATACCACAACACCAAGCAGGAGAGATGCAGGGCCGGGACGCACCTGATGGAGATGACCTTCAACTACGCGGGGAAGTTCCAGCAGGTCGAGCAGGACGGTGCTCTCTTTCGCATGGAGCCCATGGCGAAGCAGAGTCTGTTTGATGGGGCGGGCGAGCTGGGCCGGTGGACCATGCTCGAGATCAATTCGGTTATTCTTAACGGCATGCTGGAGTTTCATGTTACCTACAATCGGGGGACTGATGAGGCTCGTGTCCTGACTCCGTGGATGGATAATCTGGTCAACTGCCTTGAAGACCTTGCGAGCAGTCATGCTTAGATGGTTGATTTGGAGCGTTATATCATAGTATGCGTTGGCTGATGGCAAACGAGGAGGGGAATTTACTGAGATGCCATGTAGAGTAGACTGAGTAGTCGTTCTGATCACATAAAACATTAACAATGATGAGGTGATAAACAGAACAGCACGAGTATGGGTAATAGCAGAGGTCACCCCCTTCCGACCTCATGTCTCAGCTCCCTTAATCCACGAGCATCCTCTTATAATCCTCCATTGCATGCAGATTATGGGTTGAACTGCGGATAAAAGATATATCTATAAGACTGTAATACTAAGGTACTATTCTCAATACCTCATTGTTTTTAGTATCTAGCTACTCTACTAGGATATCTATATATTTATTTGATAAAATGATAATTCAGGACATACATATTATATCTTATCTATTATATAAGGTAAAATAGCCCTGTATAGGGGATTATGGGTGATACCTGATGTTAGGATGAAATGTAATGCAGAGATATATATCTCACCACCACCATCCTAATAACTATCATCTAGAATCTAAAATCTGTCATAACTCTAATTCTCCTTGATAAATCTAATATTTATTTTATACATAGATAGATATGGCTATTCTCTATCTATGGATGTAAAAATATATCCTTGTCTAGGCCTGGATATAGTTATATAAGTTATCAGTTCTACGGGATTAGGTACATATGGCCAACCCATTTAGTTGCGGGTTAGGTTAGCGCGTATCCATCTAAACCAAAGTGCGAATTGGGTGGGTGGGTGGGATATGGATTTGCAGATTGGGTCAGCCAGTCTAGCTGCAGTAGTGCAGTGTCGCGATATGGTTCTAGGCTGGAACCACGTAACGCTGTACTACAGGGTTCTTTGTCTGGGGCAGGCCGGTACAGCTCACAAAGTACAATTTATTAGCTTTATAGGCTTTCCCATCCTCGGCGCCCCCAGTGGTACACACTTAATTTCGACTCTCTCACATCCTTCGCTCTGTAGAGTCTCACTGCCTCTGAAAACCGCGCATGGCTTCCGCTAAACCTCCATCTGAAAGTCTCCAAGCCATCCCAACTACAGTTTCAGTTTCACATCACAGACACCAAAATGTTGCCAAGGACGGACACGAGGACGTGGGCGCTTGGCTGCAGGCGTTAGGTGCCTTTCTCGTTTACACAGCAACATGGTGAGTCGGTGCGTAAGTTCCCTATCGTGTTCAACCTGCAGTGCTCATCGTTTCTTTCTTGTAGGGGTCTGTTGAGTGCCTATGGATCGTACGATAGTTTCTATGAAACAACCCTGTTGTCTCCCACGCCCTCGACCACAATTTCTTGGGTCGGCACGCTACAGGGTGTCATTCTCATCTGTAAGTCACCACACTTTCAGGAGGCAAAAGGCACTACCAGGTCGAAGTGAAGAAGATCAGCGCGATTAACCGGGGACCTTGTTTTACAGTGGGGGGCGTCGTAACGGGGCCGATCTTCGATCGTGGATATATCAGGGAGCTCTTAATCATAGGCACAATAACCACAGTAGTAGGCGTCATGATGTTGAGCTTAGCCCGCGAGTACTATCAGATCCTCCTGACACAGGGCGTTTGTGTCGGTATCGGAAGTGCAATCCTATATGTGCCCAGCATCAGTCTCGTTGCATCGAGGTTTCAACAACGTCGCCCGCTGGCCATGTTCATTGCTACCTCCGGCACCGCAGTTGGTTTGTCCTCCATGCCTTACCCCCCTTCTTCCCGCCGATAGCCTCACTAAGGCACACATGCAGGTGGGATAATCTACCCTATCATGTTCTCGAGACTCCAGCCCAAGCTCGGCTTCCCGTGGGCAACTCGAGTTCTCGGCTTCGTGACACTGGGTGAACTAATTATAGCGATGGCAATTATATTACCCAACACCAAGAGCAAGGCTCCACATAATGTCCGCTCCCTTCTGGATCCCACCGCATTCCGCGACCCAGCGTTTATGGCCTTTTGCGTAGCTCTATTCCTCATGTGGATCGCCTACTGGGTCCCCCTTTTTCTACTCCCCACCTTTGCCCAGTTCAAAGCCGGCGCAAGCTCAAATCTAGCGTTCTATGTCCTAGTCATCTGTAATGCATCAACAATTCCTGGCCGGTACCTGGCGGTGCCACTGTCAAACCGACTGGGGCCCGCGCTCACCATGGCCGGCTTCGCGCTGGCCTCCAGTATCCTCCTCTTCGGCTGGATTGGTGTTAAATCAGTGGGTTCCACTATCGTCTGGGCGGTGCTCATTGCTTTGTTCATGGGGCCACTAGCAGTTCTATATCCGGTTATTGTGCCTCATCTTTCGCCAGAAAAAGACCTCGTCGGGACCAGGATTGGTATATCATCGGCTGCGGCGGCGCTGGGGACTTTAGTCGGCTTTCCGGTTACATCTGCCTTGAATGACACTGAGACGGAGGTATTCTGGAAGAGCCAGTGTTTGAATGGTTGTTGCATGTTTGGTGGGGCTGTTCTGATGATATACGTCTATTATAAGATGCCCAGAACTTGACCATCGGCCACACTGGTTATCTCTATGAGGATCTCATCGGGAGGTCGCACAGGTTGATCATTGGTAGATCGATTCTATTCGAGTATTTTCTAATTGTGTGGTTCGAAGGTTGTATCTAACTTGGCCTCATGAATCGTCCTTGTCCGCAATGAATACGAGAATAGCTCTTAGACGCATGGTTTAACTCGGCATCAGCGATAATTGACTAAGCTAGGACATTCCGATTATAATACTAACAATAAATACCCCAAGCTACCTGCAGCCCTGGAAAAGTCTTCAACCGGCTGATCTCCATTCCAACTGCCTAGCTTCGGACGTCAGACATGGAGACTGGAGAAGGGCGCCGGAAACAGCCATAGCTCGGCATGATCGGTCCAATCAGCAGTGCAAAGAAAAGAGATCATCTTATCTCCGCATGACGCCAATCATTTCATCTTATGGATATCTCAATGATGCAAGGGATAATGCGGGGTATAAGTACTCTGCCACCCCGCAGAACGTCGTGTCCAACTCTCTTACCACACCCAATTGACGCAAATCACAGCATGCAGATGAGAGGTACGTTTGCGCTATTGATGGAGATCAATCTGACGATAATGATAAGCTCCTACCGGCCTCAACGGCCTCATTGAAGAATACCGACCTGACCTGACCCCCTTCGAGAAAACCTACCGACATATCCACCACTCTCCCGAACTCTCCGGCCAAGAAGAACAAACCTCCGCAACCGCCGCCTCACACCTTAAAAGCCTCGGATACGAAGTCCACACACACATCGGCGGCTATGGCGTCGCAGGGGTGCTGCGCAACGGACGGGGCCCGACCGTCCTCCTCCGCGCCGATATGGACGCCCTCCCCGTCGAAGAGAAAACCGGCCTGCCCTACGCAAGCACCAAAACCGCCAAAGACCCCGATGGGGAGACCGTCCCCGTGATGCACGCCTGCGGCCACGATACCCACGTCGTCAGTCTCATGGCGAGTGCGAGTCTGCTGCACGAGGCGCGGGAACACTGGTCGGGGACGCTGATCTGTCTCTTCCAGCCGGCGGAGGAGCATGTGAGCGGCGCGCGAGCGATGATCGAGGACGGGCTGTACGACAAAGTCCCCAAGCCGGATGTTGTGCTTGCGCAGCATTTGGTCAAGATGAAGACTGGGACGGTGAGTGTCCGGGCGGGGCGGCTGCTGACGGCTGCTGATGGGGTCAATGTGCGAGTGTACGGGCGCGGTGGACACGGTGCAGCGCCGCAATCCTGCATCGATCCGATTGTTATTGGGGCGGCGATTGTGACGAGACTGCAGAGCATTGTCAGTCGGGAGGTGACGCCGGGCGAGTTGGCTATTGTGACCTGTGGGAGTATCCACGCGGGCCACAAGGGGAATATCATTCCGGATGAGTTGGATCTGAAGCTCAGTGTGCGGACGTATGATAAAGCCACTCGCGAGCGAGTCATCGCGGGCATTAAGCGGATCGTTGAGGCTGAATGTGCGGCGGCTGGTGTCGTGGAGAAACCATCTGTTGATATCGTCCAGTCCACGCCGGCCACCATCAACGACGAGGCCACTGTGCGTGCGCTCAAGAAGACCTTTGGCGCCTACTTCCAGGAGAATCTGGTGGAGTCGGAGCCTATCGCGGCGAGTGAGGACTTCTCGCTGCTGGCGAGCGCGGTTGGCGCCCCGTACGTGATGTGGACGTATGGTGGCGTCGACGAGAAGACATGGGAGGACGCCGTGGCCAAGGGGACGGTGAATGAGCTGCCAAGCAACCATTCGCCGTTCTTTGCGCCGTGTATCGAGCCGACTCTGCGGACTGCCGTTGATGCGATGAGCCTGGGGGCGCTTACTTTTCTCCGGCAATAGGCATACTCAAGTAGATGAATGCATTAATTTGGATGCCAGACTAGCGTAGCATTACTTTGACTCGACGGTAGAAACATGAATGATAATCTTCCCTCTTGCTCTGCCCGACCTCAACTTCTCAAACGCCTTGACCGCGTCCTCCAGCTCATACGTGCTGTCGACCTCCACCCGCAGCTTCCCCTGCTGCATCCAGTCCCCCAGCGTCGCAATATCCTCCTTGTTACTCTTCAGCATAAAAATCACATACTTCCGCTTCCCACCCCCCAGGAACCCGGGCGTCCCAACCCGCCGCACAAACGTAAGCATCGACGCCGCACCAACCTGCACGAACGCCTTCCCAGGAAGCAAGAACGCATCAGATTGCGAGTATAGCTCGTCAGGCATGCCGATATGATCGACAATATGGGCATACACGTGCCCCTGGGCACGGAGGATACCCAGGACATCTTCCTGGGTATAGTCAATCACCTCGTCGGCCCCCAAATCCCGACAAAACTGCACATTGCGCGTCGAACACGTCGTTGCGACAGTACACCCCAGCGCCTTGGCGATCTGGATCGCGAATATCCCGCACCCGCCTGAACCCCCGTTGATGAACACCTTGTCGCCGGGGGAGACATACGGCGCGATAGACTGGTACGCCGTTTGCGCGGCGACGCCTACAGTGGCCGCGTGATCGGGCGCCACCCCGTCCGGCAGGAGAGCTACATTCTCCGTCTTGCAGAGGAGGTACTCGCCCAGCGAGCCGAACTGCGCGGGGGCAGCGGTCGTTCCGTAGACGAGCTGGCCTGGTTGGAAGGCTGTAACGCCCGGGCCGGCGGTCACTACCTGTCCACAAAAGTCCATGCCGGGGGTGGCGGGGTAAGCGACAAAAAACCGGGGCACGACTGGCATTTCGGGGACTTTGTAGTCGGCTGGGTTGATGGAGGCTGAGATGACTTTGATCAGCAGTTGGTCGTGGCCGGGTGGGCCGGGGGTGCGGGCGGAGGTGCTGAGCTGGAGGTTTTTCTCGAGTCCGCCGGTGGTGCTGGTGTAGAGCCAGGCTTTCATTGTGGAGGGGCGATCCATTTGATCCATTTTTCTGATCTACTAATGAGATTGTTGGTAAGGCAGTAGAGAATAACAAGACGATATGTGGAGTGCTTAAATATGACGTTTAGGCTTCAGCACTACGCAATGTGTCCACTATGATTTGCTCGGGTGGACCATTTTAGCAATTTCCTAATATGGCAATCAGGGGGTATATCAAAGAAAATAAAGAACTGCATCTACGACCAGCCACAATCATGCTCGAAATTAGATATTATACATATACACTGCTATGATCATGAGACAGCAATAACCGACACAGGCCACTGCATTAGCGACATCAACTCCCCCTCCCCCGATGTATCCACCAGCTCCTTAATCTTCACTATTTCCCCATCGAACCCCCCCTTAACATACCAAAAAGATTCAAGCAGCGAGAAGAGAAGATGAAAGTACGCCAGGATCACATACGACAGCGTCGAACACACCCCGCCGCCAGCCAGAGTATCCAGAAACCCCTGGGGCAGAAACTCCGCCCAAGCCATGAGCGCCGCGTCTTCCAGATCGGCCTGCACATCAAGAGGCGACTCTCGCCCCTCGTCCGAAAAGCGCACGACGTACAGCGCCCGCATGTACATCGTCTCCAGTATGTCCAGGGCAGCCTTCTGCTCCGCCAGGATCTGCCTCTGCCGGGAGGCCAAGGACTCATGGTATGCAACCAGCTGCGTCAAGGCGTCATCCGCGCCGCGGCAGAACGCCAACAGACGCGGCGAGCAGCCTCGACGCACGGGGACAGAGACAGATCGAAGCGTGTCCCGCGGGCACAGTCGCCAGTCGTCATTCGCGTAGCCGTACTGCACCATGTCTCTCAGGGGGCCCATGCACAGCTCGGGCCAGTTCTGCTTGATCACGGTGCACAGGCCTTGGATGAGGAAGATCCAGTCGAGCCGCGGCTGGCCTGGTTGCGGGTGCTCATCGCTCAGGTTGCGGATGCGGAGGGACGCGAGCGCGAACCCGACCAGCAGCATCGAGCCCGCGAACACGAGGTTGAGATTCGCGCTGGACAGGTTTGCGAGCTCCGTCCTGAATGCTTCCAGCCCGCGCTGATGGTGCTCGATGATGATCTGGAGATACGCGGCGTCCATGGTGTGGTTGTGGCCGTGGCCGGGGTCTGCGATGGCCGGCGACGGCTGGCTCTCCATGTCTGGAGACGTGTATGGCGGTTGCTGGTCGGCCGTCCTGTCCGAGGCGTAATCCAGCCCCGCCAGGGCGAGAAGGAGGTGCATGAGGGCCTCGTTCCGCATGGCGAAGCGGGGGATGACGGTTTCCCAGGTGCGTTGCCGGCGCGGGTTCAGCGACATGTGCTTGGAGGTGTGCAGCATGAAATGCGAGTGGAGCTGCAGATCAACCATGTTCAACTGCCCGGGGCGGGGAGTCGAACATCCACTGGCTGGACCTGATGCGCCGATATCGAACTGCAACGGGTGCGGTGACGGCCCTGAGTTTGGATGCGCTGCCCTGCTCTTGGATTGATCTCGGGGCGCTTGAGTGCGGCCAGTTCGGTTGGAGCCATCCTGTGACCGATCCGGCGTGCCGTGCCCTTGGGAGCCTGTTTCGGCGGGCCAGTCACAAGGCTCGCCTCTCAAGGCACAAGCACCGCACGTTGGCTTGATTTCGTCGCACTGGAGGTGTGAGCGTCGTCTATCTTGCTGGCTAGGCAGCGGAATAAGGAATACGAAATACGGACCTTGACTCGGCGACCCTTGCAGGTAAAGCACCCTTTGCGCGACTTGCTATGCCTAGCTCGTATTCTCTTGCGTATGCCTCTGTCGGACTGGTTACCTGTTGCCATTTTGATACCATTGCCACTGCTGATTGATGCTATGCAACGGCTGAATCGAGTCGGGATTAGACTGGTCATGGGTTGGGTTTGGATGGATCCACATGGGGTTCAACCCAACCCAAATGGGTTTTGGGTTAACCCATGACGTTAGCCATCCACCTTGAAATCCATGTAGGTTGGATTATGGATACCCCTTCTACCTATATTTTGCACGTGACTTTAAACTATACTACTTTAGTAGGCAGAAAGATCTCTTATTAAGAGAATATTA